TCTCCCGTCATTTGTGTGCAGCGAGACATAGAAATTCCAAGTCCGCCTCGACAATCCAAGCACTGCCGTTAATTATGGGAAGATTTCCCATTGTACCAATGTACAAATGAGTTGGAAGAACAACTTTTGTCAGGCCTAATGATGCGCGGGGGAGTGTCGCGTCTGGTTAGCTTCCAAAATTTATACAAGACTGGCCGCCGGAAGAATGCAAGTGGCGAGGGGAAGGGATGAGGGGGGCCAAGAGAAACTAAATTGGTTTATTACATTCTTTCATTAGGAACGGAGAGCTGTCGTCCGAAATCAACGACAATCAAATAAAGTTTAAATACATATTTTTATTTCATTACACACTTGAAAGTCTAAGCCCCCGAAACGAACCGTGTCTCGAGAGCTGGGGATTGCGATGATGATGATGACGAGATGGCAAGATGATGATGATGGTGAGGCAGCGAATATCTGGCGGATGCGATGCCAAGAGTGCCAAGTGCTAACGATTTGGCAATGGCCAGAGACATTGTCCCTCGTCTGTGGACTCCGTCTGTCTGGCGGTCCGAGTGTCCCTAACCCAACGTGGCTAAATGTTTCTGCAGCTTTCTGATTTCTAGGGATGGTGGCGTGAGCGTGGGAAACGGCACTCCCACTATATATAAGTAAATATATATAGCATAATCCACCCTCATAAATCATAACTTAGCCCAGTTTATGGTCCCCAATAAACTTGTCAAACACATTCCACTAAGCGCGGGGGTTTTTGTTAAACAAATTAAATATGCAAATAGTTTGACATATTTTATATTTGCTTTTAATTTCCATGCACACAAAATAAATTCCTCAAAAAACTTCTCCCTCTCCTCGCTCTGATTTTTCAGCCATTCCCTACGCTTTATCTATGTCGGGCGATTAATTGTTGTTATAAATAAGCATTAACTGGTGTGGCACAACACAAATAAATTTCAATTTGTTGGCAAACGTGATTCGGAGTGGGGGAATCGGTCGAATAGAGAAAGGGAATCTTAAGGATGGCCAAGTCACGTGCGCATCTCTATGAGTTGGCCGCGAATTGTGGCCGCTTACAGGTTTCGTTGCCTTTTCTTTTACTTCTATACCCTTGCTGGGGTCCTAACATTTCGATAGGTAAAGGAACAAACAATTAAGTAAATATTGTATTAAGAAATTGCAGGAAAGGATCGTCAGCAGGCCAAACAAAATTTTAACAGCTACCAGCTTACTAACAAATCTGCTAATAACCGCGAGCAAACCACCGAAAGGGTATTTAACTTTCGACCATCCAAAGTCAGTTGCCTTTTTTATTTTATTTTTCGGCTCGGATTTTTGTTGCCTGACTTTGGCTGACCAAAGGCATCAGACTCCGGCTAAAAATCCAGCTACAGCTTCAGCCTCGGACTCTCGGGGAACGTCGAACGATTGGCATGCAGCTTGGGGGCGAGGGGGGCGATGCAGGGGGTGCCGAGGGGGGAGTACTAGCCTCTGACATCGGCCGACACTCCACGCTGAATTGCGAATGGAGCGTTGCCTACATTGTAACTTGTTGTAGCCCCAACAAATACAACCTCCTCGTACACTGTTAGTATAAATTCTCGCCTTTCATTTTGGCGAGTAGTCACGATTTATGCGAAATCATTATAGGCAAGTATTTCTTTTTCATTTTACGACGTTTTATCTGCAGGAAGAAGACACTACAATATATATACACACTTATATATATATATATATATATTTATAGAGTGTACACTATAATTGCAGTCGAGTCAATTAAATACATAGATTGCAGCATGTCGATAAGGCATTAACCTTCCCTCGCCAATGATCGCTCTTTCTCTTCAGCACGGTCCCCTCTTTTTAACTCAATCTTATTAGTTGTGACTTGAGCTTTTTGTTTTCGGTTTTCTTGCTTGTTTTTTTAGCCTTTTACAAAATGGCAGGTCATTTCACTTAGGCAAAGCGAGGGTGAGCGAGAAAGAGAAGGGCTGCAGAAAGAGATGGCTGATTATGGCCAGAAAGAGGTCTTCTTCCTCGCTTTTTTCGCCTTTGGTGAGTAAATTTATGAAGACGTGAAATGACTTTGATGTTTTTGCTGCTGCAACTATGCGAAGTTGTTCCCCCTCACTTCTGTCTCGCCCAACTCACCCTTCGACCATGACTGGCAAAGAAAATTTTTAGCATTTTTGTAATTGACAAAATGGTTTAAGTTAGGGTTTCCTACTGCCTACCATTCCCTCTGCTAATCAAATCTGCTGAGACATTTGTCTAATTTGAATGTCTAGTCACTGCAATTTCAATTAAACTCGGTTTAACTGTGGGAATTTCTGTATCTGTATCTGGCATCTCGAACTGCCCCAATTAATTGGCTGCGTAGTTGAAATTCCCTGCGATAAAAGCGATTAATTGGAGCGCTTCCTGCTGACCAACTTTTGTGTCCAACACCTGCTGCAGTCCCAACGACTTTCACTACGCACGGCTAACCCTAATTCCCTTGAAAACGAAAAAATCGAAAAAAGACACATCGAAGTCAAGAAGAAAAACACAAACAAAACACTTGGCACCCAACTGGGAGGGGGGCGTGGCAGGGGGCGCAGCCATCGGAGTGTGTAATTAACACTTTTATGTGATCCCCAATCCAATTCACAACTAATTACCAAAGCATCGATGGAATAGGAATTGGAATTGGCCTAGGCATCGGACACGAAAATGTGGAAGGGATTGAGATTGGGATTTGGGTTTTGGATGGGGCATGGGCCAGGGGGCATGGGGATATCGAAATGGGTGGCTCTCGCAATTAACGCTGGCATTAAAATCGGTCGAAAGAGTCCGATTCCAATTATTTATTACACTTTTCTGGTGCCTTTTGTGCAGCTGCCCTGTGCAGTTTGTTTAAACAAAATCAATCTAAATCGATTGCACTACATTCGGAAAATAGAGACGTAAATCAATGGGCATACGAAGGAGGAGGGTCTGACCTGGGAATAGGCTGAACCAGAGATTAAAGAGCCCTTGGTTGAGGCGATAACAAAGTGGTTTGTCCGCTGGAAATTAAAGCAAGCTACGCAAAGTGGAGGTGCCGCGGGCAATGCCACCAAAAGAGGCAAGTACATGTAAGTACACTGGAATTTAGAGGGTATGGAATGGTATATTAAGTAAGGGGAGGCAGTCTTTTAAATAGAAAACAAATCAATACGGAATAATAACGCACGCGAAAGTAAGCAAACACAACGTTATTTTGTTTAATTCCTGATTATATATAGGTTGGTAAAAGTATAGTAAGGAAATCGCGCTCTTTACAGGACAATATATAAATAGTCTTCCTTCAGTATGTGAAACAACACGAAACAAGTACAGCAAAAAGGAGGAATACATTTGCGTCACTTTCCGAACTTTTTATAAACGTTACATATATAAAAGGGAAGATAAATTTTTAATGTATTCAGCCTTAAAAACGACACACATTATATCCACTTAAATTGGTTTGACAGAAAGTTGAGGATATCGATGAAAAAGCTTTTAATTGAAGCAAACAACAAAGGTTGCTGAAAGTTATACCAGAAAGTTCAGCAGTAACGCTGAACAAGGTAAATACTTAAACTTTATGGTTGGCTTTCCATATGATAATGTCATTTTGTATTTACCCCCCACTCCGTACTTTTCAGAGGATATCGCTTAGTCGATGCTCCCATTCCATCGCTCCCTTCTTAAGTGTTTATTTACACTTGTCTTATGTCTTATTTCTTGTTTGGTGTGTCTGCGGAGCGGTTTCTTCTTTCTTCCATTTTTAAGTAAGCGATTAGTGGCGGGAGACAATGAAAATTTGTCACTTGACAAGGCAAAAACAAAACGATTTCCATTTGCCCGACGACAAATGAGACATAAGGCAGGCATAAGTGGATCCCAATTCGGCCCCTTAAATGCCAATGTATTGGAAGTAACAGCCGAATCAACAAAACAATCGTCTGGATGGGAAGGAAGCCCGCACACACTCGCTCGATGATTGTTATTAGTACATTTGCTGTGGAGTATATCTAATTTGCCATTGATGTGTGCATTAAGTTTGTACTGGGCGGCATAGGAATTGTCGTAAAACATTAGTGTCCCCCGAGATTAGAGCGAATGGCGAAGATAGGCCGAGATGGGCTGCGATGGGCAAAGCAAAGGCGGCAGCGGCGGCGGCAGCGGCGGCGGCGGAAAAAGGCTGGCTCATCGCCCTTTTATTTGACATTGGGCAATATTTATTGCGAACTCATTTCGATGCAGGCAGAAACTAGCAGGAAAAGCTGACAGCCAAGGATAAACAGTGGGGATTAAGAGTAAAAGAAGCCATTTGCCCTAGAAACGTTTTTTTTAATGTGCTTGGTATGCAATTCTAGCGACCTAACATTGAATTAATGTCTTCTCAGTTAGTAATTAGTTTTAGGTTAATAGTGGTTATAAAAAATAATATCCTAAATGATAGCAAAATAATAACTAACTTTCTAGACCATAAAATCAACAAAGTTTTTTCACCAAATTTAGCGGTCAGGACCCTTAAAAGTTTCCTTTAGCCAGTTTGGACTGTAGAAGGATAGAGCAGGCGACAAGCTACGCAATTCGGTACAAAGCGGAATGGCAAAATACGCCATCAAAATAAATAAAATCAGGAGAGAACGGAACTGAGCGAAGGCGAAAACAAATTCGGTAGCACAGCATTCGGGGCTTTGTGAGGGGGAAAGGGATAGAGCGCGAGAGAGACAGCACGGGGAGGGTTACATGTACCGTTATACGTCCCCACCCAAAATGTAATGAAATCCTTTGTGTGCGTGCGTGAGCTTACGTGTCGGTGTGGCAGTGTGCGTTTTGTTTGTCAACTTTGGCGAGGCGGGACATAAAAATGCTAATACAAAACACTAGAGCAAATTGCGGCAAAATAAGTTGTGAGCGTGTGAGTGCCAGGACTTGACGCCAACTAAGACCAACTAACTTTGCTCGCAGGATCATTGGGACGCACTTACCGTTTTAATCAGGCGAACACACCGCTAATCCAAATTCGTAACACCCACACAAAGGCAAATGAACTAAACACTGAACACACAAAGACACTAATTTCGGCACTTTGCAGATGGAAAAACCTGGTGCCGCAATTTGAATTCGACTTTTTGCGCTTTTATGCTGCTGCCGCTGCGATTTAATTCGATTCGGATTCGCGCAGACAAACGAAATTCAGGAATTTCAAGTGGAAATCTCGTTTGAGCACTTTTCGACCTGCGACTTACGAAGGCGGCGCGGCGAAAAACTTTGGCTTAAACTTTTAACTTGGCTTTAAAGTGCCTGTGCAGATTTTTCAAACGCGCGGTTCTAATTGCCAACGGACAAGTCTTGTTTTTTTGCTTATTTTTCCGATTGAATATTCTTAACTACCCGGACTCTTCACAATTGGTTCTTTGACGCTCGACGCGACGCGATTCAAATCGTCCGTGCGCTCGCTTCTGTTGCCGTTCAAATTTTTTTTTTCTCTGTTTTGACGGAGGTGTTTTGGCTAGAGGTGGGCGAGCACCGATAGCCCGATTATGCGTTTTGTAGTCGATTTAATCGAATAAGGGTGGAAACTTGGCTAAAAATCCAACCGGGTCCTGAACCACTTTAAATAAAAGAGCTGCCAGACCTTCGCCTCAACAACACTCTTTTAAACTATTTCCAACTTTCATTCAATAATTTAAAATTCAATAATTTATTAGCTCTATACATTACAGTTGTTTTATTTTTCTTGAATATATTTTATAGTCTTTGCAAGCAAGTCAACTTTAAGAGATCTGGCAACTCAGCTCACAGCCCGCTAAAACGTGCCAATTCGAAAATTCCGCGGATTAACTTTTTTGCAGTCAAAACCATTGCAATATGCAAGTCACAATAAAACATATGGAAACTGCATCACGATTTAATCGAAACAAGGAGAGTCTGTGGCCAACATCCTGTACCATCTCGTTAGGCGCCTTTGTTAAACTTCCTTTTTTTGACCGGTCACGTTTATTAATCGGCTTAGGGCTTACTACGTTTTTCTTTAAATACGCAGAACTCGACTGCAGGGCACGTAGACCTCCAATTGTTGGGATAATTTCGAGGGCAACTGCGTCGACAGGCGCGATCCGTAAGCTTGAATTATGAAAGAAACCAAGGGTGGGTCGATCGACGCCGAATACCGGTTATACCGGGATCAAAAGAAACACTCACCTGGGGATTACCAACTAGATGTTTTCGTTATTATTCGCATAACTACAAATTAATATTCGTATTTAGATAACTAGCGCTAATCAAGTCTAAGAAAGCAAGCGGATATGTGGATCGCATAAGAGTTACGCTATGTACGGTACGATATTAGTCAGTTAAATCACAGATGTATTATTATTTTGCGCGCACTCCTCTGTCTGTCCAGCCTCCAGTTCGAGCTCTAGCTCCACGCCGGGCGTCCTGTCCGGTGGCTCGGCGTTCAGCACGAGATTCTCGATGGAGCGGAACGAGGCGTCCTCCAAGTGTGTGGACATGGGGGCGGTTGGGGGGCGCGGCAGGGTGCTGGCAGTGCCCCCGCTTCCGGCTGCCGGCGACTGGCGGTGTCGCACCGAGGAGCGCAGTATGGTAACCACATCCTCCGCCGTATAGGGGCGTCGTTCCAGAGTGGAAGCCCCCGAGCGGTGGAGCTTCCTGCCTAGCGATTGCGAGCGTTGCGCGTAGCCAGCGGGTCGCTGGCCAATCTCAATGGACTCGGGACTGCTGCTGGACGCCGGCGAAGGATCGGCATTGGAGCTGCTACCAGCTGGGTTTGTTAGAATGGTCAGATAGTCAGGGGGTGCCGCTGGCGAGGCGGATTCCGCATCGAGGGAGAGCACGGGTCGGGTGCGACTGGAGTCTCCCAGAACCCTGTGGGTGAATAAATGGTTGATAAAAGGTTTGATTCCATTTGAGAGTTAGAATTCTCACCTGCGGACGCTGCGACGGATGCTCTGGCGCAAAAGTTTGGCAAGGCGGGCTCCAGTGGCCGTTGTGTAGGACGGAGGTGGCGTGTACTTGGGCGGAGCATCGTTCTGGGCATCGTGCTGTGTGCCCTCCGTAGTTTGACCCAACGCATTGCGTCGCCCTTGGGCCGCACTTTGACGCGCAGATGGACGCCGGTGCTCCTCTCCCTCCTCCGGCGGTCGATACAGCAGCTGTATGCGCTAAAAATGCAATGAGCCATGTTGTTAATAGTATTTTGTCAGCCAACAACAACTTACCTCCAAGATATCCGGAGGACCGTGGGCCAAATATCGGTAGATCTGAATAATAGCAGTAACAGGAATAACCAAAAGTACTCCAATCTGAATGAGACTGCCCATCTTCCTGGACCAGTATGTAAAGTATGACTTCCCCCGCCAATAGTAAAATTGATTGGACAGAGAAGCTTTATAGTCAACCACCGACAAGGTGATCAGGCCAATGGGCAGCAAGACGTTCCACGACAAAGCAAGGAAGGCAGACATGGAACCACAAAGTCGCAGATCATTCACTAAATCATCCCCATTATAGGGACGTCCGCGAATCAGAAACACGCCAAAGATCTGAGCCGTCCAGATGATTGGAATAAACCACGAACCGCCCAGTAGGAAATCGACGTAGTACAATATCCGAATGCCCATTTCGGTGGCAAAGGGAATACTCAGTAAAAGTCCAGTAACACAGCTCAGCAATACCGAACTCGTAGAGTTACCCAAGGCACTCGAGATGGGTTTCCACATCACGCACAGCTGCGCTAGTCCGAATCCCGCAAAGGTTCCAAAGGCCACAGCGGCCCAAACCCAAGAGATGCTATCGCTGGCCAGTGAAAGCACAGCTGGAAAAATCTCCGAGATGAAGCGCAGTGCCTGGAAGCCACTCTCCATATGGATCATGGTTCGATTCCTTCGGTAAGTCTCCCCAATAAACGAGGAGTAGTGTGGAATCAGCGAGCGCGGATAGGAAAGCAGGTAAGGATCAGTGTGCGATTGTAGCGAGTAAATGGACGTATAGCAATCCGGGTTTTCTGTAATAGAAAAGTTTATACTATTTGCTTAAAAGATATAGAGAAGTGTCTTTTGCTTACCAAAGGATCCTGGCACATAGACGTAGCCATGTTGCCACAAAATCTGGGCACAACAAAGAGCTAACAAAGCCATTAAACCCAAGCCAATCAGGGTGAAAAGAACCAGAAAAATCGCATCTCTCCTTAGTGCCGCCTTGTTGGCATTGGCATGGCTTCTGCTGGTAATGGCGATTACCGAGGCTCCAAGGAGACCCCAAGTGAGAAAGGTCTCTTGAGTAGCAGCCGTCCAGCTATTGGAATTTATTAGAAAGTCGTCGAAATCGCTGGCAGCAAAGATGTTCTGTATAGAAGAAGGTAAGTATAGAGGTTAGTTTCGAACCAATTTTCATTTGTTCTACTTATCGCCATATACCAACCTGTATCCTGCTGGAATCCACGACATAGATAAACTTCGCAGTCACCACTGCGAGGGAAATTAACGGCAGCGTATAGATGATGTACGCCAGTTTGCCCAAGGATTTCAAGCCCTTGCAGAGGATGAGGAACACGGCCGCCCAGATGAGCGCCAGGTAGAAGGCCAGCTGCTGAAGGAAGTGGCAGTGAGTCAGTTAGACGTGAAACGGGACAGAGGGGAAGGAGGAACTTACCCGATCGTTGACGTGAAAACGGATGCCACTCGCATCCGGATGCTTGGCCAGATGCAGTCGCTGCAGCACCACCACGTTGAAGTACTCGGCCACCGTCTGCGTAAGATTCCCGGTCGCATTCGATGCGTCATAGCGATAGGGAAAGGCCAATTCCTGCCAACGATAGCCGGTGCTCGATGCTGTGGGAAACACATCCCTTAGGTAGACCAGAATCCAGGCCAACGACACCGTGGAATACAAGGCCAAAAAGCATTGCTGCATCACTAGGGCAATGCCCACTCCAGCGCAAATCGGGCTGATCTTCCACATGGACACTGGACCAGCGCGTATTTTGGCGCCCAGGCACATTTGCAGCCAAAGCATCGGGATGCCAAAGAGCACCGAGAGCAGAAGAAACTGCAGCAAAAAGTTGCCACCAAAGTTGATGGTTAGCACGGCAAATCGGCACATATTGAAGACGCCCAAGGTGCAGCCAATCAGCGCCAGGGTGCGACTTCCGGCATGCGGCCACTGGCTGTTGAAGCCACATTTTTCGCGCAGCAGCAATTGCAGTTGGTGCATCGGTTCCAAGGGCGTGGTGCTGCTGGCACTGCACATTGTCGTGGTCTGCACCGGATCCTGCTCCTGATCCTGTTCGGCCGAGCTGCTGCCACTGCTGGTGCTGTCCGAGGGCAGGGAAACCGGGCTGGGCATCCGCGAGGAGCGCGCCGAACTTAGTTCCGAGCAGGTGGACATGATGGGATGCGTGGGTGTCTCCTGTAGCTGTTGCTCTCGCGTCTGCACACGCGTGGGAGCACTCTGTGGCCGACTCTGGGCTAGAATCATTGAGCGAAACGGCGTGGGTGGTCCCTCCGAACGGCGGCCGTATTGCCTAGGTCGCGGTTCCTCGCTAGAAGCCCTCGTCGTCGTCTGCAGCAGGTTGTCGAAAATGTGGGCCTCTGTCAGCATCTGTGAACCACCTGTGTTGGCTGCTGATTCCTGGCAGTCGCCTTGGGAAAAGCAGCGACGCATCTCCGCCTCGCGTCTTGGGGGAAGCTCTACCAACAAGGTGGGTAGGTCGTCTTCCTCCGTTTCCTCTGCGGTGACTTTGGTGTCCTCCTGCTCCATTGCTCGACGCATGGATTGACGTCTCCAGACGTCCATCGCGGGCTCCGTAGTGGGCTCTAAAGAAGCAGTAGAAGCTAAAAAAAGTAGAGAAGTTAGGCCAATATTTTAAGTTAGTTGTTAGCAAACCAAAGAGAGATTTAACAACCTGCTCTTGGTTTGACTGTTTATTTTAAAACAATACCAACCTGTTTGGCTTGTGGGCCTCAGTGAGCAGCTAAAGGTCTTCCTAATGTGATGCTCTCTCTGAAATTCTCCTTGAGCAGCCTCCTGCTCCTCGATTGACTTTTTGTTTGACTTCTTTTTCCGGCTAAGAGGCAAAGTTCTGGTCCTTGGTTCCCTTTTCAAACTGTTCTGGTCGCCCATGATGATAAGCGACTCTTCGCGACTCAAGGCATTGTCCATCTCCTCCAAATAGTTGTCCAGGTCCATTAGATAATCCTCCACCTTGTCATCATCACTGCCGGAATTCATGGACGAGCTTGAGCAGGTACCATTCAGCTGCGAAACATCGTGGACATCCAGAATGGCATCCAGTTCGCTGAGCACACATAAGGCTTCATCGGTTTCAGTCGCTTGTTTGATGGGCGTGCTCAGCGGCACCTGTTGCATCTCCTGGCTGCCGCAAAAGGCACTTCTTTCTTCGCCCGGGCCATCGCCCAAATGAAAGCTTATGGGTTGCAGTTGGAGGGGATGTTTGGCCGGTTGGTGAAAGGACTGGGGCGTCTGTTGGATCTCGATGAGGTCCTCGTCGCTCAACTCGTCGTCGTAGTAGGCGCAGGCTTTACGAATCGATTCGCTGGAGAGGCTGTTTGAGAGTCCAAACTGCTCCTGATCCAAATTTTGCTGCCTGCTGCGAGCCTTTCCACCTGTTCCCGTTCCCGTTCCTGTTGTTCCCAATCTCGCTCCGGAGGACGCTGTTCCGGATCCCGAGGGCGGCAGACTGGCGTAGGCGTTCGAATTGCGCTTGAAATCCCGGCCTGCTGCTTGCTGCTCCTTACTGCTCATCTTGGTGCATTGCCGGCTGCCACAGCTGATTAGTCCTGCCGGCAGTGTTGTAAACCTCTTTAATCCTTCCTGCACAGGGTAACCAATAGAGTTAGATAAAATTAAACACTTAGAGTCGCACAAAAAAGGTTTTCATGTATTTTAAAGAACTTATTAGTCAGAAAGAGAAAATTAAAGAAATTCAAGCAAGCGACCATTAAATCATTTTCACTTTGTTTAGCTAATTTTATAGTAAGCCGGATTTAAAAGGAAACTAACTGCCAACCTATGGTGATTAACTTAAGCCATAAATACTTGGGACTTAAAAAGAATATTTCAGTGAAAGCGGCAAAAACACAAAAACAAGAAATTAGCTTAATTACCCCATAGAACTAATCATGACTGTAACGCCACAAATGCTTTTCGAAAGCCTTTAGTAAATTGGGAAAAGAACGTATGCAGTAACCAAATTAACATTCTATTAAGTCATAGCGCTTTAATCTTACTTGCCATTTAATCGAAAGACTGAATTTACTTGCCGATTTACTTGGACCCGATCTTACAATCTTTAAAGTATTGATCAAGAAATGTAGAACATTTAAAAAGAAAGTAGATTAACCCAAAATCACGATAAAAACGCACCCAATAAAAGTTGAATCACTCTGAAATTTAATTGTGGTGACTAATTTGGAAGTGAGTAAGATTTTATTTGTGCAAATTAATTGATTGCGATGAATTTCTAAATTGAACTTCATATTTAACTATTTAAACAAGAGTGGCATCATTCGTTTTGGCTTTAAAACTAACTAGCTCGTACTAAATTAAACGAGTTATTTCGTTGGCAGCATACAACTTAATTGTGGTGACTAATTTGGAAGTGAGTAAGATTTTATTTGTGCAAATTAATTGATTGCGATGAATTTCTAAGTTGAACTTCATATTTAACTATTTAAACAAGAGTGGCATCATTCGTTTTGGCTTTAAAACTAACTAGCTCGTACTAAATTAAACGAGTTATTTCGTTGGCAGCATACAACTTAATAACCGCAACCGAAAACAATAATTAGCGAAAAAGAATGCCAATAAAAATGTGCTAAACACGAGCTTGAGATGACTCTCAGACTTTAAGCTCAAATGGAATACCAATTAGGCGAAATCAAATTATTTTTACGAGCCCTTTAACCTTCTCGTACAGCTTGAAGCTGAATAAAGTTCAATCCCGTACCCGTGATAAGAGTTGCTCTAATTTAAGAAACCGATTACGTAAAGGCAAATCTTTTTTTTTCGGGAAATCCAAGTTTGTGAGAGAGATAATAGCACTTCATTCATTGGCAAGCCCTAGACAAGTGTTTCTCTTGCCTGCAATCAAATCAGTAGTTTCGATTGAGACAGGTCAGTGGGGAGATCACATAGCATTATAGCAGAAATGCAATCAAATGCAAACAAGCGCGTGCTCTCGCGTTTTTACGGATGTTTGCACGTGAGTGGATCGCGTCCGCCAATAAAAAAAAATAACAAAATCAACAGCAGCTGCTGTCAAATGGCCGAGAAAAAATATGAAAAATTTTTTAATAATAAATAAAGGCAGGCAAAGCGAAAAAAAAGAAGAAAAGAGCAGAGCGCATGTTCATTCAACTGATCAGGTGAATGTACTTCCGTTAATAACTTTTTAAAGCACGATATAAACAATCAAATCGAAAGGGAGTGCTGGAGTCTAGGCTTTTTTGAGGGAGATCGTTGGCACGTTACCTCGATCAAGTCAAAATTGTTTTATTGCCGCCGTTTCTGTTTATTTATATACCGGGTATGCATATGTAGATATTTTAATTTTTAGGGAGTTAATTTTAACGTCTCAAATTTTTTGAACTTTGGATAAGACTACATGCTTTCGTTGTTATTAATTCGAATTGCTTTTAAATCGAGAGTTATGAATCTAAACCATATTTGAATCTTTTTGTATTTGCTAGGGTATTACAAACTTCGACCAGTCCAACCTTTATAGTGTTTTTTGACTGCGATCTCACCGAATCAGAGTCTGAATCTTTGGGTCTGGTTTTATTTTATTTTGCATACGCTTAGCCGTGACCTTCGACGCCGCCATAAAATCTCCGAGACTCACACACGCGCACGCACAACCTGTCTTGCACTTCTTAAGATTGCTTTATGGTAATATATACTGTGGTAGTAATAGAATGGGCAGCATCCACATATTAATTGGTGGCCCAGAGGTCAAATTATTTAGCGAAGCAGCGCCATTGATCGCGAATTCACACACACAAACAACTACTTTACAAAGCAACCACGTACCGTTAAATTTCGCTGGCGCTCTCGTTTTCTGGCATTTCTCGCATTTTCGCACCGCACAAAAGTAAACAAAACAATTAGAGGTGCCGCATCAAGTGCAACTCACAATTCAATCGGAAAGACAACTCTGGCCATCTGACCTTCGCCAAATGCTAAAAGCTGTTGAAAATGGCAACACCCAGGTGCACTAATCACCAAACATTGCTGGCCAACTTGTTTTCCTTTTCTATCGAGTGACTAGAGTGTGCAATTACAATGAAATTGACATTCACCAAACAATCAAAACTAGTTAATGCTGCCACGCACATACACACACGCAAGCTGGGGAGCTGGCTCCATTATGCGTGAGACGACGGTGTGTGTGAGAGCGACTAGGGATGCAACGTCTGTGGATCGCGAGATGTGAGGCTTTCAGCGGCTCAATCTTTTATGCAGACAGGTGGCCCATCCCTGACACAGTGGGTTCCGGTGAAGAGAAACGGGCAGAGTGCAAGTTAGGAAGAGTCGTGAGCTGTTTAACAAAAAGTATTTTACATTAATAAGCTTGAATAATTATAAGCAACTATTGATTTGATTGTTCAGCGGGCTTTCTCGTCATCATGGCAACCTAGCTTTAGGCGTTGTAAAGTAATTAACTACATAAATCAACAGCGGCTCAGGGATTTGCAAGTATTATTACTTCATTGACTTGGATTTAAAGTGAAACTTGAACTAAACAGTGAATTCTCTAAATCCAAGTTTTTCTTAACGCCCAGTTTCTCTAAGCAAATATTTACTGTACTCGATAGATAACTCTACCAGCTACTCTTGTAAAACATCAAACGCAAAGATCGGCACGTTTTTCTGACAGCTTTCCGTAGATAACTGCAATAAATAGGTGGTGGGTAAGGGGAAGAGATATTTATTCCCCCTTCTAGTCTTATATGATGACTAATGCAGCCAATGAAGGCCCAACAACTGCAACTGCGCCTCCAATTGAGTTCAATATTTAAGGGAAGCACTGGGTCAATTGCAAAACAAACGATGTACAGACACATATGGATATATAAATTCTGAACACATTCGCAGTTCAGATAGCGGGAATTTGTTATTTGTTTATTTTTGCATTCTCTGGCAGGGAAAGAAAGAGAAAGAGAACGGTAAAGAGCCCGCCCTGCTTTTGTTTTTTCTTTTTTTTTTTTTTTTGCGCGCTGTTGAAATTGTGTGTATTTGCAAAACATTGCCAACACAAACACACACACATACTGGCTCACGGGTTATCCAGAGTTTTAAATGAATAACTGTTTAAGAAACAACAAAAATTAACGCTGATTGGACTTTTGCGGTTTGCTGGGGAATACCTTAATGGGCAGATTGGTCATTCCAACGGAAGGGCGAAGCGTTGGGGAAGGGGGCCGATCACAGCTGTTTCCAGCAAGTGACCCGAAAAGAAAATGGAATAAAAGCAGCGCGTATGCGCAGCACGCTCGAAACCCCAAATTTCGGTGTGTACTTGTGGGTAGAAAAAAGCGAGATTGAGATTTTCAGATACGTGTCGTGCTCTCTCTCTCTGCCTCTCTTCCCTCCCCATCTCTCTATCTCACAAGCCTAACAGTGTGTGCGTGCGTCGCTTTGTTTCTCACCGTAGGAAAACAGTTTTTCGAAGAATATTCCAAAATGGAAAGGTGACTTCCTGGAAGGGTTGGGGCGCGAAATGGTCCCCGCTTGCCACACCACACTCTGCTGCACTTTCCGTCCCGCTCGCTCTCGCCCACACTCCGCAGTAAAGTGCAGCAGCACACACACTCTGGCACTTTTTACAGGCACTATACTCACACACGTGCGCCTGTTTGGTAATTTCGATATTGCCCGTGGCTTCGGTTCTTTTAATTTTCTTCACGGCGTCTGCACAGTTTCTCGAGTTAGCTTTGGCTTTTTGCGCAAGCCGAGCTTCATTTGGCCGCTTCGAACACGCAGCGCACACGACTTGACGCGGAGAGCAGAAAATTTTTTTAAAAACTACCAACAAAAACAAAACCACAAAATCAAAACTCTCAGGGCTGCAAAAATAGTTTTTTTGAAAACGGATTTGCCCTAAATATGACCAGCCGGAAATATACCTAAATAATCTCAAAACCTGCTTATGCACCTTCCGTTGTTGGTTGGAACCTCGGGTTTTAACGTAAGCTAAATTTGATTAACGTTTTTAACGAACAACCTAAAAAATCCCCAGTAACATATTCTTAAACCATTGACTGGAACTCGGATATTAACGTTGAGAGCTTGTCGATATCGATTAAAAGGTGATAGGTGCGCGGTAAATTCAAAAAGCAGACCATCAACTCAAGCAGAATAACTATTATTTTTTAGGATTTCCTTAGAATTATTAGCCAGTAGAAAGAGCTCACTTGCCAACTGTCATAAATACAATTTTAAGGCGACTTTCAGATAAGATAACCGGCACAAGATGTTGCGGCATCAAGGCAATCAAGTCTAGCAGACATGTTAACACCACCAATTTACAAGGGCACGTTTAACATTTACATATATATATCTATATATATAAAAGCAAGTTGTGTTAGTTCCACCACTTATAACTTAAGAACGGCTGAACAGATTTGGCTGAAAATTGGTAGGAAGGTAGCTTAGAGCCCGGAATAGGAGTTAGGGTACTTTTTATTCCGTTCGACATACCAAAAATCGCATATAAACTGAGTTATTACCTCATCAAACTGACAAGCACACACTACCATAGCATTTTAACTCAATTTTTTTAAAGTGAGTAGAAATTATTTGTGATTTTGGTGAATTGAAGTGAAGTGAAGTTTTTCGTGCTTTTTGTGAATTGAAGTGAAGGGAAGTTTAATTAATAATGCCGCGACCAAGACGATCGAATCTTTCCCGACAAAGCCGTAATGCAAGAAGACTACAAAATACTGCAAATGGAAGGTCTGAAGAAGAACAAAACATTGAACGTGAACAGAACCGCGTTAGAATAGGTCGACTTCGTGCTTCTCAATCAGCAGAGCAAAGAGAGGCAATCCGTAATACGGCTCGGTTGACAATGCAGAATCGTCGAGCTTACAACAGAGGTCAAGAAATAGATCATTTGCGACGCAGAAGAAATTTATCAAGTGCTGATTTGAATCGAGCAGCGTTTCAATACGATTGCATCACTGATTACAGCTTGCATCCTAGCGTTTGCATTGGGCAAATGGACGTTGTTTGCGAGTATTGCGGTGCACTGAAGTTTTCCGGAGAAACGCCTGGATTATGCTGCTTTAATGGTAAAGTTAAATTGCCATTGTTGACTCCGCCACCTGAGCCATTGTATTCGTTGCTTTGTGGTGAAACACAAGAATCACGCCACTTTCTTGCAAATACCCGAAAATACAATGGTTGTTTCCAAATGACGTCATTTGGGGCAGATATTATCGAAGAACGAGGATTTAATCCGACATTTAAGGTTTTTTTTTTTTGTTTGTATTACATAGAATATAGTTAAAGAATAACTTACTTTATCTTAGATACAAGGGCAGATTCACCATCGAATTGGATCATTACTACCTTTCGAAGATACACAAAAAAAATTTTTACAAATATATTTCATGGGCAACATGGAAGAACAACTTGATCGACGTCTAGCGATCAATGAAGGGATGAAGCGAGCAATTCTTCAAGACATGCAGTGTCTGGTTCATGAACATCATGCGATGGTCAGGTTGTTTAAGAGTGCTTTAGAGCGCATGCCAAATGATGACTATAAAGTTGTCATAAAAGCAGATAAACGACCATCTAAAACACACGAAAGGACATTTAATGCTCCAACAATAGACGAAGTCGCCATCCTGATTGTGAACAATTTGATGAATGAGGAGATACATTATCGGGTTTTACTCTTGATCGAAGATAATATATGTGTTACCTCATGTGCGGTAATATATTAATCAGGTTAGAATGCCAGCGCCAAATCGTGAAATGAATGAGGCATTTAATCGAGAATTAGAACGGGAACGTGAATATGATCACCAGGAATTAAATTTATTAGTTCAAGCGAATGTACCCCTGTTGAATTCCCAACAGAAGAAAGTTTATAATACTTTAATGAAGGCAATCGATGAAGAAAATGGTGGTTTATATTTCCTAGATGCCCCTGGTGGTACTGACAAGACATTCCTCATGTCATTAGCTTTAGCAACTGTTCGGGCGAGATCCAACATAGCTGTTGCAGTTGCTTCTTTGGGAATAGCAGCCATATTGTTAGAAGGATGCCAAACGGCTCATTTAGCATTAAAATTACCGTTAAATCTTCAAATTATTGAGGAACCAACGTGTAATATTGCAAAACACTCGGAAAAGGCCAAAGTTTTAATGGTATCGAAATAAAATTTTTCCTTTTCATATATAAAACAAAAAAAAATTTTCTTTATCTTTTAAACACCAAACGAAGTTTTAGCTAAAACTATCGCCATCTGGTGGCGGAACGGAGTTCGCTGGGTTTACTAGTATATTCATATTTCGCAGTTGCATTTAGTTGTGTGTAGACCTACTATCAGCGGCTTTTAAACATGATCAACAAAAATACATACATGTGTTAATACGAGTACGATAACAAGAAATAAGTGCTCTGCGGTCGTGCCGATACATTGATACCCTTTCCTTTTTCAGTGTGAAATAGAGAGCTGTCTAGTCGTATAATGTCTGGTCTAGAAGGCGATAGTTAGTAACGACAGCTGAGCTGACAACCGTAGCTAAAGTAAAAACACATAGCTGCAGTTGGCCAAGTACTTAGTAGACGATTAAAGGTATTCCATTAGCTAATCACCGGATTATTTGAACTTCGCTGTAGTGGTTTGTGTGGGTGCATTCAATCGTTTCACTTAAAAACTAGCTGATAAACTCGGTATGGTGTCCGCTTCACGAGAGGAAAGTGCGCACAAAACCCTTTATGTCGGCTCGGCACATGGGGCAATTGGCCACGCTGGGAGCGCACTGGTTGCAGGTGGCTATTTGGGGGAATCAGGAGACTAGTTACAGCTCATCGGAGAAGAACTTTATTTTCGACTCACCCAAATGGCCGCAGGGCAGGAACACCACGCCCACCTCCTCGTCCAGGCACACCTTGCACAGGCGCGCATCCTTCAGCTGGCGGTTTTCCTCCTCCAGCGACAAATTCCCATTGGGCGCTGCGACCGACATCTTTTGCAGCTGTTCCGCGATCTTTGTGGTTTCCGCAACTGGCGTTGCTTCATGGTTGGCCGGGATGGAATCTGATACTGGCTCGGCTGCTGCTGCCTTGCTGGTGGTGGCCTGACATGTTTCCAGGAAGGGTGCACTTGGCTGCGGAGGCTCTCGCACCTCCAGGGCAGCTTCAGCGCCCGCCTCGTCGAAGATGGCATGCAGCAGTTCGTCCAGCGTGGCGAAAGCGCAGCCGGAATTCGAGAGCTTGCGTTGGATGGCGTTGCGCACCACTCCTCCATCGATGCCCAAGGCCAGGGCCTCCTTGGCCGGCGCCTCGTCCATCAGTGCGTCCGCCTGGAGGGATGGAGCAGGAGCCGTTGCTGGCGGAGATCTGGCGTTGGCTGCCGCGGTCTCCAGCACTTCGTTCACATATGCCGGACCCTTGGCCAGCAGCACAAACTGGCACTTGGGTGACCACTTGGCGTGTTCGTGCCAGGGCTCATCCTCCTTTTGCCAGGAGCGCAGACCAATGTTGCAGTGGAAACAACGCACCTGGTCCCCAATCTTCTGGTAGTACAAGCCAGCTTGGGCCAGGGCATTTGCGGGCTGGATATTGGCGATGGGCCAATCGGAGAAGGTTCTCATTCTGGCGTCCACGCAGGCGTACTTCGGACGCTGCGGCAGGGTGGTGGGTTGGATGCCCAGTTCGTCTAGGTTTTTGCCCGCGGCAAACTCGATAAGCGGACCCATTTGCACCCGGGGACATTGCGGAAAGAAGCGCCGGTGCTCGTCGAAGGCGTTGTCGTTCTTCTCCCACTTGGCAATCACTCCGTTGCACCATACGCATTTAACGTGATCTAGGCGGTTCAGGTAATAAAAGCCAGCTTTGGCCAGAGCCTGCGGTGTGATGTTGGGATTCTGAAAAAGAAATACGAGTTTTTTGATTAAACAGGAAAAGAGTTTACAGAATATGGCAAGGGTATCGGTTAATTTCTTAAAAAAAAGGTTTTGTTTAGTTAAAAATACGAAGTACTTTAAACACTGCGTTGTACAATATAATTTATATCTGGGATTTCCCATGGGGCCTATGAAAGCCACTTATCAGCTACGTAAACAAATGTATTTTTAACTTGACTCAGGGGAAGGGGAAATCTTGCAACATAAAACAAAACTTGATTGCAGTCCGTACGTTTTAGTGAATCACCATCAGCAATCGGGATCCAGAAAGCTAGCGGTTCCCGAGCATTTTACTCACCGGCCAGTCCTTAAAGGTCTCCAGGCGGTTGGCTTCGATCAAGAGATCGGGACATGCGCAGGACGTCGGGCTGTCCACCATGCTGTTGCCCTCCTGGTCATTCTCCTGGCTTCTAGGGACATTTCCGCAGTGATTCGGGGCCAGCACCATGGAGCAAATGGGCGACGAGCGACGATGGCGTTCTGCCACCTGGTCGCCGTATTCCCAGCGGTCGATGCGCACGTGGCAGAAGTGGCACTCTGCCTCCAGCCAGTTGCCCGTGGCAAAGAATCCATTGACCACCAAGTCCTCGGCGGATACTGGGGCGTTCAGGGGCCATTCCCCGAAGGTCGCCAAGCGAACGCTCTCCAGCTCGAGGCGCTGTTCCATCATCGCGTCGCGTCTGGTCGGGCTAAGCGGATCTGGATTCGGATCCTCACCCTCCAATGATGTAATGCCCCCAGCGGAATCACCAGCGAACGCGAAGCGGAGGAAAATAAAAACAGGGCAAAAGAAGAAAAGTAAACTTATTGATCCCAGAGACAGTGTGACCGGAGCCCACGAGGATGCCACCGAAATGTGGGGCAATGGAAACACCAAAGCATACGGCCAATAGGGAAACAATAATATACAAACACAAAGTGTAATCAGTTAACTAAGGAAAGCCTTCGTTAGTTAATTTTTTTAGGTCATTGATTTAAATAAAAGCTAATTGCTTACAAAATGCAATAAATGAATGACTTCCTGCTATGTGCCATAAATGTAGTATCATATAGACTTATTTCAAGGTGTTTACTGCTTACACCACTTCTGAGAAAAAAAAAGCCAATTTGAAGTACAGTATATAAATACAAATAATTGTTCTGGTATTTTTGTTAGCTTTGATATGAAGCCTACTATTCCAACAGCTGTTTTATCCAAAGACAAAAAATGCAACCAAATTTGTTGTTTATATTTTGTAAGTCATTTTTGCTAGTCCAGGCCATTTCAACAAACATTAATACGAATCTTACAGTGCTCTTCGCCACACAAGCCCAGGCGGAGCTCTCTGGTTTGCTGAGTGCCCTCCACTACTTTGGGCTCTACTCCAATGGAACCTCCGACCTAGGAATATCAAAGGGCCAATGTCACTATAGTTTCGAGACATTCGCCCTGCTGGAGGAGCGGCGAACATGTTCCCCGGATGACAAGTACATCCTGCATCTGACCCAGTTGCCACCGGTGCGGAAGCCACCCATTCTGATTAAGTGCCTGCAACAGGAACCTCCCGAGAATAATGGGTCTGCGCCAGAGCCTGGTTTGCTGATTATGCGCAGCGCAAAGGAGATTGTGAGCCTGCTAAAGCCCATCGGCAATGCCACCAAGCGCCACGAGCCAGGCAGCTGTGTGGTGGTCCACTTTTGCACCGCCTCTAGTTTGGAATGCGCTCGGGTGGCGCCATTAATAAATTTGCTGCCCCATCTGTTCCCCACGCTGCCTATCGCATACGTGGATGCCTACGAATTTGGGCGCTTTAATGCAGAGTTTGGCATCGTGTCGCTGCCCACGCTAATGATCTTTCACCAAGGAAGGCCACTCATTAAGTACGATCCCTGGGGGACAGATTCGGAAAAGCGCAGCTTTGGATGGTTCATCATGCGGCACACGAATGTAAAACCCGTGGATCCGCAGGTCACTATTGATCCGAAAAACGTCTATCCCTATTTGTCTAATGTGCCGCTCGTGGAAACCGACTACTACTTGGGCCTGGCGTGGGCCTTTATCCTGGCCTGTTTGGCCAACTACCTGCGACAGACTGTCTTCTGGAAACAGCTGGTCGAGATGGTGCAGCGCAACTGGCGGGAATCGGAAGAGACGCAGATGGAGATGGTGGATTAGTCAGTTAGTTAAATGTAGCTCCATTTAAGTTTGATTGAAAAAAGTACGCAGGGGGTTCACTAATGTAATGCAATTACCGTTTAATTAAATTCACATCAACATTTACTTAAGCCTTACGAATTACATGTATTGGGAATTGGTAATTATAGTGTTTTCTATGTTGTGGAGCCTTTGAATCGCTTGTGTTCCCCTTACACGGCATCTGGTCTCCGTAATTTAAAGCTTAGTGGCTAACAAAATCTAGAATCTTGAGAATTAACAAAATAATTCCGAACTTATATTAACGGTTTTATATATTTTCCATTACTTTCCTTCAATTTTCGATTATGTGCGAGAGTGTAATGATTTCGGCGTTGAATAGTCACATTGGTTTTAGGTAAGTGTATGCTAGTTTTTCTGCATCCTAAGTGCCCGACAAATGAGGTTGGAGCGAACGCAGGACAAAACAGAAAACGACTGAAGAAATAAGTATGATGAAAGTATTTGAAATGGTTATCCCGCTGTTACATAAAGATGCTCTGGAACAGGACCAACGCTTGCTTCCATATGTGTGTTTGAGTGTGCGGCTCGGAAGATGTTGGCATGAGGCTGATTACGCTGCTACTAATGCTTCTTGCCGCGCTTTCCCGCCTTCGAGGAGTTGGCCGCCTCGTCTTCAGCGTGTTGATGCTTCAGGGAGCGCTGCTGGCGCCTTGATTGGGCGGCATAGGGATGTGGGTGTATGCTGGTCGGGGAGCAAAAACAAACTCTCATTAGTTAAAGCGTTATTGATAGACTTAGACAATCAAAACAAATAATACAAATAATCATCCGTACACAGGCCAATTCGAACGCAAGTGGAAATTTAATGGTGACGGGAAGAGAAGGGCAAAGATGGGTGATGTGAGCAAGCGAGTGATGGAGTCGTAGGATTCGGAGGTTTCGGAGGCGCAGCAACAGCAGCAGCAACAATGTTAGAATTTTGACTAGCGTAGATGGCCAATTGATTCGTCGAGTGCGGCTCTCGCAGATTGTGGACTACGGATTACGGATTGTCGAGGCTCTTTCGGGCGGGTCAAAATGCGAGTATGCAGACAGAGAGTTAGATGTGTGTGGGAAGGTGCGGCCTTACACGTAGCTTGCGGCCGTAGTGTTGCTCTGCCGTGGAGAAGAGGAACGGAGATGTGGCGTTGCTGCTGGCTCGAAGTTCTTGTGGCGATGAAGCGGTGGCGTTGCGTTGGTGGCGCCTTCGGTTAGTAGTGGTGCATGTGGTTACGTCGGAGCTTGTGGTATCTCTCGTCGTGGTTTTGATTTTGTTCATGTTTTGTTATTGCGCGCTTTCCCACGGCCTAAAGCCTGCCCAACCGACCGAGGGGCACTAGTTGCACGATAAATAAAGTGAATAGTTCGGGAAAACAAACAACTGCAGTGCATTCTAATTCAATAACACAAAAAAACCAGAACTTAAGGAATACAAAGTTTTTCTAGAATTAAGCTGAAATTAATATTCACTCGCGTATCGAACTAATAGGAATTTTGATAAGAAATTAAATAAAACTTGGCACCGCACAAAAAACACGACCGATCGTCGAAGAGAGTTTGCTTTGATTACATGTTATTTTTGTCTGGATTAGCATAAGTTTCGGTTTTTGATTTATAGTTCGGCTTCCGCTCTACTTGCGGTGGTACCGTGAATTATAAAGACGCCAATCTCTGCATGATTCGGAAAGTACAAAATGTTGATGGAGAAGAGAAGAGAGAGCGAGATGTCGTTAATACACTTGGGTAAATGGTATATTAAAAGGTCAAATCTTGGCTACCTAGGGAGTCTGTTTATAGTTCAAAGACAATAATAGCTGAAGTCGTGTTATTGTTAAGAACAGACAGTCGTTACCATAGAAACCTCGAAGTTATTTTTAAATCGGACAACAAATCCTTTAAATTAAACTTCGGCTGGCCGAAGAGGTCACTCCTGACTTTGTTAGGACTTTATAAGCAGATTGGAATGATGTAGCCATGAAACGTAGTCTATGTTAATCCCAAATCGCCGGCTCCCGCCGATCTCAACTGAACAAACCTTGCTGAAGTGGACACCGTGGCCAGCGGCGAGGAGGGGGTGTCCGCAGTGGGCGGCGGGGAGTGGCCAGGCCATGCCCATGGCCGTTTCGCAGGTAAGAACGACGAGAGCTCACGTGGTTATTGTTGTTTCCGCTGCTTAGATCGTAGATAGCTGGCGAAGATGTTGCTGCTGCTGTTGATGTTTGTGTTGCACTATGGCCACTGGGATCGATGTCGTAGTATGGAATCGAGTCGAAGAAAAGTTGGAAAAGATTACAACAGTACTTTTGGGGGTCGGGGTTATGCTAGCTTGGCAATCCAGTTTATTCAACGCGGGTCTTTCGGACGCTGTGAGTGGGTGACAGGTCATGACGAAAAAAAAGAGTCGTGGGCAAAACAAAAACTAAACAAACGAAAGATGTTGAGAGCTTAACTTGCCGCCTACCTCTGTGCATTTTATGATTTCGATTCGATTCGTTTCGTTTGAACGCAGTTTTGGGAATGTAATTAGCAGAAATTTATAGTATGCAATTCTGTTTCTGTTTTATCGGATAGTTAGTAAAATATACTGTATGTACTTTAGATTTAGTAATTATATCTGCAAGTAAATACAAACGTTTCAATTTAGCAACAGTTGTGTGAGGGAGTTGTGGTTATTTGGGGGAATCGTTGGATCGGGCTTCAGCAAAAGCTATTCGGCTAGTCCTAAACAATCACGCGCACGGAACAGGGACTCGGAAAGTGGACTCTAGGGGTGTCCTCCAGCACTTACCTGTTCAGCGGTGCCGTTGGCGCAGCGGGATAATGGCGGCCCGCAGAGGAGCGAACAGGAGGCTGCTCCTGGATCACACAGTCATCGTCCTCGTCGTCATCCTCGACTGGCTCAATGGTCACCGATGAGGTGTGGGCCGCCGGTCGGGCGGGCATGATGGCCTGCATCCCACCGACACGATGTGCTGGCTGTCCCGCTCCGCGAGTGGCGCGCGATGTGAACTCGCGGTCAAACTGCTCGGCCTCCTCCTCGTCCAGATTGATGAACTCCTGACGCTCCTCCAGCTGTCCGGAGCGCATGTCCTGCTCCTTCTCAATGATGTGAGCTCGCTCGCCAATGTGGTGGCCAATTGCCATTTTCTTCACGCCGGTGCGAGAGTCCTGAACGGTTTTACGAGTCTCACGAACACCACCTGGTCCTGTTTTGGTGCTGGTGCTGGCCTGATAGATCTGAGGGCGGCCATCGGGACCCGAGGACATGGTCATTACGGTGCTCTGGCAGAAGGAGGCACCTGGATTGGCTCCTATATCTGAAAAAATCATGCTGAACAGGGTTTCCCAAAAGGAGGTATTCAAAATACGCACCAGCATTCAGCAAACGATTGAAGTTGGGCATCATGGGCATTCCGAAGAGCCCCATGGCGGGCATGGCCGGCATTTGAGGACGCTCCATCAGAGCGCCCTGCTGGAAGCCAGGGTCAAAGGGCGAGACCTGCATAAAAGGATCCGGCATGAAGCTGTTCATCAGGCGGTTCATGGAGCGCATTTGCATGTTCATCGCATTCATGGTATGGTTCATGTGATTGCTGCAAAGAATTGATAAATGCTCAATTAATCTTGACAATTTTTGGTTTACTCGGGCTCCATTGGTCGCTGATCTAATCTGTTACTAGTTGATTTTCGTTTGCGTTTGTTATTCATCTTGAACCGAGCCTAAAAATAGTTTTTACCACAGCCGAACCGAATGATTTCTAGCCAGATACAATGTCGTGTTGATAAAAACGTCGCCTGCTGTATAGCTTTAAAAACCGAGGGTCCGATTGGCTACTCATAGGTCACTTTTTGTGGTTGGCCTTATCTAGAGACCAAGTGAGAGGGGGAAACCTTTGAAATAACTGACGCGGGTGCAGATTTTCAATTGCATTTCCCTGCGGTCGCTCGATTCAAATTATCGATTATTACGTCTTCTCTTCACGCATGCTGCACACACACATACACACTCAGATGGTAACTTTTAGGCTTCCTTCTTATTGCTGTTATTTAAGCCTTAAACATGCCTGGACATCTAGTTAGATGTTTATTAATAATTAACCCCCTATTTTACAGTTGCTTGTAATACTTACACGCCCTAAAAAGGCGTCATAAGACGCACACGTATGGAAATAAATGGGGCTTCTGCAGGAGCGCCGCATGATTTTTCCACATTTCTCTACGTTTTCGTACTTACTTCATTAGGCCGAGGTCGTCGTCAAAGTCCCCCATTAACGCTCCGAATAAAGACATTTTCCTGGCTTAATTATTGGCTTGCAGTTGATTGGGATTTTCTTTTTCCGTGTGTAGAATTTTCACGAAATTTCGAGTTTTTCTTATAAGTGTGGCCAGTGCAGAATGATTAAAAAATAACGCTAAAATTAGTATGCCAAAAATACTGTTTGGTATTTATCATTGGTAAATACCATTATAGATTTTAAAATGAAATTATACGTTAACTATTGAATTGCAAAAAACTTTTTTAATACAGAACAACACAAGTTAAAAGTCTTAACACTTAGTGGAACGTATTTCAATTCTGTCTTTTAATATATTTGATAATACTATATACGAAGCGGTGTTCTTATAAATGCTCATTGTGTTTTTATTAATTTTGTAAAGTAATATTTTGTTCGTTTAATTTGTTCGCTTTAAGCTTTTATGTTTTTAATCTCTCTTTAGAGATATTGTTCCGCTTGCTCCTCGATCCAAGCGGTGTGGGAATTGACGCTAGTGTAGACTCCAGGGAATCCCTCTCGACCGCAACCGACGCCCCAGGACACGATGCCTACAAGTACTCCGTCTACAGTCAGAGGGCCTCCAGAATCGCCATTGCAGGTGTCCTTTCCACCTTCTAGATATCCCGCGCAGATCATCTCATCGGTGACCGTGTACTCCTTGGTTAGGTACTGAGCCCCACAGGTGCTCCGCTCTACGATCTCCAGCTCAACGGCCCGAAGCAAGGCTGGCAAAGCCTCATCCTCCTCGGTCCGCTTGCCCCAACCGCTCACAATGGCGTGAGCTCCTGAGGGAGGCGCCTCCAAGGCCACCGCAATGGGTTGCACCAGAGTGGAGTAGTCCAGGGGCTCTCGGGTGATAATCAAACCGATATCGTTGACATACGTCTTCTTATTGTATCCAGCATGGGGAATCAACTTGCTGACCTTCACGCCTTGCTCCTCCAAATCAGCGATCGAGTTCTGACCAGCAACAATCCTGATATACGAGGCATATCTTCCCTTAATGCAGTGGGCAGCAGTAATCACAACTTTTGGGGCGTAGATACTTCCTCCGCAGATATGGAGCAGCATGTAGGTCTCCAGGCGAACAGAAACCTGGTAAGGATAATCCGAGATGTCCGCCTGATCGCCACCCACAATGTGGGGATTAATAAAGGCGGATTCCGCGAGAATTACCAGGCCAATTAAAGCCACAAAAAACAACCCCAAGCGCAGCGACATTTTGAAACTTAAAAGTATGGTTCGATTCGCGCTACTTATATAGGGCCAAAGGCACCTGCTTATCACTTATCACCAAAACAACGAATTTAGCGATCATCCCCGATAGGTATATTTTGGATTTTCATAAAATTCTGCAACGATATCGTAAAGTTTATAGGACTCACGGCTCAATACGTTTTATATCCATTATAAACTGGGGCGGTGGTCTTCTAAAGACCCGATGACCACGAAGCCACAAGAAAGTCAATTGAGCAGTTAAGGGGAAGCCATTTGGGGATAATCAGGCAATCGTTCCGTTGAGTCACTAAACGGCCTTATTTCATTAGCCACTGAACTTTACTCGAATGTCTGACTAAAAGTCTTGTCAAAAGTTATAATCTTAGTCGCGAAATCAATGGAACTGGGTCTTCAGATAAGTGCCGTCTGAAAAATTAAGCAGAGATTTATTTTACTATAGTAATCAGTTCACGAAAACGCATAACACCAGTACAAAATGTGATAGGCTAATCAGGTCGATAAGCAGAATAATAATTATAATTGGTCTGCCAATAAAGATTTTTTCAATTGGTTTACCTCTTTGATTGGTAAAAGAAAATATTTAAAAAAGTCGACTGATTAGATTTCTGTGGACAAACCAAACTAAACTGAGTAGTCGAGTAAAAATATGTTTAATGAATGAATAAGAAATTAATACATTCGAGTTCCGTAAACGTTTGAATATTACTAGAACCAACAGAAATTTCGCGGAAATGATTTTTGAATAAAATTATTTTTTCCCCCCCGCGATTTATGGTGACGTTAAAAGCCTGAGAATCAGACTGCGTAAATTTTGACGACTAAAATGTAAACATAAGCGATTGATGTAATCAATATATCGAAGAGGCCCGTCCGACGGGCTGAATATCTGAGTTTGGGCAAAGTTCGAACATTTGGCACGCGTCTCAAGAACTCCCACTCGCGTTCCACTCAAATTGTTGAGACTGAAGTACCACTGGGATCCCACAGTGCCCATCCCATCGTCGGAGGTGCATCAAACATAGTTCCAGAGAGGGCGCAATTAATTCCACGCCACTTGGCCTGGGCATCCAGCATCACTAGCATCCACTTCTAGCTACTTAGCACTTCGAGTGCCGACTAGTTGGCAATTACTATACTCGATACTCTGGGCTTCTTAGGGTCTATAAGGGGAATCCGGGGATCGGGGATTCGGGCCTGGAGACGGAGCTCACGTACGCTCGGAAGCGTTTTGTGCCGCGCATCTTTTTCGGCGTGTTTGAGTCGAGCTTGATCGGCCCAAATCGGTTATAAATAGACGCCGACCGCCGGAGGTACCGCATTTGCAGCTCATCAGTCGGCGGATGTGACTCTGGATAATTAGACCTAAAAGCGGATTTACCTTTCGACCCATTTGACCGTCTCAGTGCGGCTCGGACGAGTGTCTGTGCAAGGACTTAGTTCTCAATGAATATTTAAATACAAACGTGTATTCAGAAAACAGACTTAAATAAAGTGAATTAAAATGTTTGTGGAAAAAGTGGTGAGTGTGAAAAAGAATACAAAATCAGGACAATGACGTTTCAAAAGTTTTTGAAAAACCTTAAAGGAAGTGCTTATTTTACTACAACGATAAAAAATTAGCTGAAACTTAATAAAACTGAAGTTCCATCACATATTGATTAAAATAACGCAATACAAAGTGTGTAAATTTTTGAGGGAAAAAGTAAAATGACCTTGAAATAAGGACAATTTAATATGTGGACTAAAACAAGTTTAAGCAAAAAAACAAGTGCTGCAAAATAAGTCAAATTCAGTTTTAGTTTTCCTCTGAATTATCTCACCTGTTTTCGTTGGAAGACGGAGCATTTTAGCCGGAATTATTTCGGGGCGTTAGATCCAAGCTCGTCTCCGCAAGTAGCATCTCGTTTCGGAAGACCATTATGATAATTTATGAAATTAGTGGGAAATAATCATGATGTATATTTATTAGTGGCCAGGTGCCAATTGGCGAGCAAACAAGCGGGTTCTGCACACCTCGCAGCCTGGATACGCCGTGCCCAAAAAAAGAGGGGGAAAAAAGAAATAGAAGTGACCACAGAGAGTGGAGCGGAAGCCTTCTGGACGCTTCACCGGTTTTGGTCAAATATTGGGCTGATTAAACAAAGATACACGGGGGGTTGTTGGACCTTGTGTTCGATTCCCCTTGAGAGTTCCTAATTGCGAACTAAGTACTTGGCTAGCAGGCGTGGGTGTTTTAGATCAAATTTCAGGTGGGCCTCCTTTACAGTACTTTGATTCGATCCGTACCTGGATTACTGAGCCTACAGAAGCATCAAAAACATTGTGAACTGTTCTAATTTATGCCGACTTTTGATATCCGGCGGATGGGCATGGCGCCCGGGAATAGTGCCGGTCTTTGGAAGAAGGTCACCTTCCTCTTGGCTGTTCCGGCCATTGTCCTTTGTGCCGTGAACGCCTTCACAGGACACAAGCATCAGGAGAGGGAGCCGTTCGCCAAGTATGAGTATTTGAGGCGCAGGACCAAGCGATTTCCCTGGGGAGACGGCAATCGCAGTTTGTTCCACAACGCCGAGGTGAATGCTCTGCCCGAGGGTTACGAGGATGAGGTGCAGGAAGAAGAGGAATAGGGATGTCCCCTGCCACTCAATCAATTGATTTTCATAACATTTTGCCTATACAACTGGATTATACCGGTACTAATTCTTGGTGAGAACTAACCCATTAGTTCCCCGAATTGCTAATTAATTTACCCTTACCAGAACATCTTTTTCGTAAACTGATTTGTGGATTTGTGATCGCTGTATCACCGTGCAGATTCTTTGCAAGCAATAAATTAATCATTGAGATCTGAGTGGGTTGTGGTTTCACTTGGCCATAAAACCGCTGTCGCATGTGGCTAATGGTTCGCGGCTTTTACTCTCTCGTCCAGAACCAAACAATGAGTTCGAGGAAAGGGCGGGGTGCTGACACATGTGGGAAACCTGGCCAACAAAAGCCTGTCCCTGGATTTTTGGCCGGTGATCATCATTTGTCATGTTTTGTGCTGCTCATCGTAACCTGTTGCACCACTGACACCCGAATGAGCCAAAAAAAAAAAAAGTAACCAAAGCAAAGTAACACGTACAGTTCGACAAGGTGCTTTAATCGATCTTTCAGACACACGTACCCAAACATACCTATCTACTTCGATGCCAGAGATCGCATCGCATCGCATCGCATCGCCCATACGCCGTGTTGGCCCAAGCAATTCACACCGCAGTTAGATACATAACTTATACTTTCGTTCCGATTACGATAGCAAGTGTGTTTGCCGAAAAACTTGCGACACGCGGCAAGGGCAAGCACTCGAAGCGGCCAAGTTCGAAAATCTGAGTGCTCTGCTCCGAGATGCCAGTTAATTAGACTCCAAATAAGCCGAACAGTGCGTAGCTGATGAAGTGCGTTCGAGGGGCTCTCGATGAGGGTTCTCGATAGCAAGCTAAATATTGGTTTATGCTGCCAATTATCCCATTGATTTGACTTCATTTTTTTCGTTCTTGATCCGCAGCTCGAACGCGCCACCAAATCGGAGCTTTGCTCGATCCTGGTCCTCCTGGTGATCAGCCTGAGTATCTACACATTCTATGCCACCCTCAATTCCTATTTGAGATCGGTGCTCCTTTCACTGAGGCTCACGGGGCCCCCATCGCTGCCATTTCTGGGAAACTGTATGCTGGTCACGGACAAGGATTGTAAGTTGCCTTTGTAAACCCTTGCAGAGGGTATAATAATTTCAGTCAGAAGAAGTTTGCAACGCAGTCAGTAATTCTAAGTCCATAACTTTTCTAATTTTAATCAGGGTTTGAAGTGGCATACCTCTAAATGTTTGTATCTTAATTCTCTAACCAACTGCATCATTAGTTACTTTTGATTTTAATTTTTAATTTTACAGTTTAAAATCCTTTTATACCAAAGGTAAATTGAATATCATATAATAACATAACGCTTATTTTGCAGTGATGCGAAAATGTGCAAGCAAGGCCTTTGATCTTTATGGATCTCTCGTGCGGATTTGGGTGCTGCTCTTTCCCTTTTTTGCCGTTCTGCAACCGGAGGATCTGCAAGTGATACTCTCCTCCAAAAAGCACACCAATAAGGTGTTTTTCTACAAGCTGATGCACAATTTCCTGGGAGATGGCCTGATTACCAGTAGTGGTTCCAAGTGGAGCAATCATCGTCGGCTCATTCAGCCAGCTTTTCATCACACTTTGTTGGAGAAGTTCATAGATACCTTTGTAGATGCCTCTCAGTCGCTCTACGAAAATCTAGATGCCTCCGCCGTGGGCACAGAGATTAATATCGCCAAATATGTAAACAGTTGTGTGTTGGACATACTAAATGGTGAGTCTCTAGGAGATTTATAAGCCCCATTTCAATCCCTAATAATACTTGACCATTTTTAGAGGCCGTTTTGGGTGTGCCAATTAAGAAAAAAGGCAAGGATATGGTCAGCATGGAGGACTCGCCCTTTCGCCAAGGCAAACTGATGATGCCAACGCGATTTACACATCCCTGGCTGCTTCTGGACGGGATTTACCACTGGACCAAGATGGCCAACGATGAACTGAACCAAAAAAAGCGCCTCAATGATTTCACACGCCAAATGATTAAAAGGCGTCGTGAGATTCAAAACAATAACAATGGAAATGGCGAGCGAAAGTGCCTGTTGGATCACATGATTGAGATCTCGGAGAGCAATTCCGATTTCACAGAGGAGGATATTGTAAACGAGGCTTGCACCTTCATGTTGGCTGGTCAGGATTCAGTGGGAGCCGCTGTGGCTTTCACCTTGTTTCTGTTAACTCAAAATCCCGACTGCCAAGATCGCTGTCTTCAGGAGTTGGAGAGCATCTTCAGTGGCAGCAACAGAGCTCCTTCGATGGCTGATCTGCTCGAGATGCGCTACATGGAGATGTGCATCAAGGAGGCACTGCGTCTGTATCCCAGTGTTCCCCTGATTGCCCGAAAGCTCGGGGAGGAGGTGCGTCTGGCCAATCACACTTTGCCCGCCGGGAGCAATGTCTTCATCTGCCCCTATGCCACCCATCGTCTTGCCCACATCTACCCCGATCCGGAGAAGTTCCAGCCGGAGAGGTTCTCTCCGGAGAACTCGGAGCACCGACATCCCTACGCCTTTATTCCGTTCAGCGCAGGACCAAGATATTGCATTGGCAATCGATTTGCCATCATGGAAATCAAGACTATAGTGTCGAGGTTGCTCCGTAGCTTCCAGTTGCTCCCAGTTCCTGGGAAAACCACTGTTGAAGCCACCTTCCGGATTACACTGAGAGCCTCCGGGGGACTTTGGGTGCGCCTCAAGCCCCGCGACCACCCGCTCACCGATCACTGATCATCGAATCCAGATACCCTTTCGTTACATTAACTTTAATTAGTACGGTAAATATGTATATAAATCGATACAATAATTTAAACACTTAGCTTCCTCTAGCCTAAGTACAGTTCCTCTGACTGGAGGGCGATATATCCTACTGTGAGTGGGTGTGTGCGTGTGAGTGTGTGTGGATTGTAGATTGTGGATTGTGGACTTAGGATCAAGGATTGAGGATCCTGGATGCTGGGTGGGTGCGTTCTGATCCGCAATCGCTTCGCATTCGCAAATCGCTTCATATTCGAGTGTTCGTTGAGTTTCTCTGGGGTTTCTTTTGTGCTTAAACAATGCTATATATCTGCTATATATGTCTGTAACTGCAATAAAGTTATGTTTCGTCGGCATCTGGCCGACTTAATCTAGGACGTGATATGCTGCGTTTCGTTGTTGAATCGGTTGATGAGACGTCGTGCGCGTGATTCGCGATTTGTCTCCGCCGTGTTCCCATTACCATTACCATTGCCATTGTTGTTGCTGCTGTTATTGGTGTTGTTGTTGCTGTTGCCATTGCCTTTCCCATTGCCAACGATCTGCCGCCGAGCACTGGCCACCGTGTGCTGTTGGGCAAGTCGTTCGGCTGCCTCGCGAACCCGTTGGCTCATCAGCCGCGTCGGCGTGGCGGATCTCTGGGGCAGTGGAGAGCAGGGCATGGACCGCACCTGGGGAGGCTTCCCTTTGGAGGCTCCACTGGGTGGTCCGGCGACCCTTGCCTGGCTCCTGCCCGGTTCCTCTGCTGTAATACAGAAAACAAGAGGGTGAGTATTGCTGCAGGGGGTTGCAAAGACAAGCCCTAAACGGATCGCTAAAGATATACTATAATGTAACATAAAAAGGTTACAGCCGAGATTATTAAATGTAATTTAAATTATTATTTATCGGCAAGTTTACTAGATATGGTTATACTTGGGTAAACAATTTCAAGTTATTTTAAAGCCGGTATGGATTAACGCCATTTATCAGTCAGTACAAACATTTACATGCGATGAGTAAACGAAGCAGTTATTATTATTTGTAAGGCCAATGAACTTTACTTCACTGATTAGGGAGGTAATTTTCTTTAGTGTTATTGTTTTAAGAACTATTCGTTCAAGCGATACTTTCGAGATCCGTTTGGGCTCAGACGCAAAAAGTTACTTCTACTGATGCGGCCCACGCTCGCCACCTTGGCTATTTTGAAGGGCTCAAGGGGAAGCGGGGGTTTAGCAGGGTTAGCAGCGCACGCAGAAGCAGGAGCAGGGGACACCTGGAACCTGTCCTTCAGCTGGGACACCTTCAGCTTGGACTCACACAAGGGTTTCACTTGGGCCTTGGCCTTGGGCTTCTCCCGCGCGGCGCTGTCCTCCAGTGACTTCTTGCGCATCTTGATCGTGTTGGTGAAGTCGGACCGCATGATGGCCTCGCCCTTGGTGGGCAGTTCCAGGCTGATCGGATGCTCCGTGTCCTGCACAACGGCGGGGGCAGTGCTCGCCTTGGCGATCGCCTCCAGCTTGGACTTGGCCAGCGAGAGCAGCAGCGTCTCCTGGGCTCCACTGCAGTTGGAGCACTCGCTGTAGCCGGAATCACTGCGTTCGCTGCACTGCGACTTGTCCCGCAGCTTGAGGACACTCCGCTTCTCCACCGGCGGCATGTCCGCACTGAAGTCGTCCTCCTCCTCGTGCAGCGAGCTCATCTGGCTGCTCATCCCACTGCCCATCGCACTGGCGGTCAGCATGCTCAGACCGGAGATCGAGGGCCTCGGACTGCTCAGTGCTCCCATGGCGATGGCCGAGTTCCTTCGCGACACCGACAAGTTGGCCATGCGACCCAGCGCTCGAATCGCATTGCCAGTTTTCTGGGTTACCAAGCAGGAGCAGCAGCAGCAGCAAGCGGAGCGGGGTTAAAACAGGAGCAGCAGAGGGTTAGGATCGCAGGGAGCAGCTGGACCAAAGCATCTACTAACCTGCCACTTGCGCCGAATGATGAACTTCTTCAGCTTGTCCGTGCAGATCTTGTTGTTGCTGAGGTTGTCGTCGTGGCGCTGACACAGCCACTTGGACTCCAGGCACTGCTGGGCGGTCAGGCGCTCCTCCTTCCGATGGACCAGCAGCTGCGAAATGAAGTCCTTGGCCTCCTGGGAACTAAAACATAATATTGTTATGTATTGTGATATGTTATTTCATAATTCCAATATTTATTTGTTTATTTATGTTTAAGCACTTACACGCAGTCAAAGGCCTCATCGTCGTAGTCATAATCCGCTCTTGTAATATTAGAGAAGGTTTCCACATCGGTGTCGCCCATGAAAGGCGATAGACCCGAGAGACTGGAAAGCAGAAAGCTTATTAGTTAGGATAACATACTCAAGGATAATCACTTACAGGACATAGCAGATGACGCCCACGCTCCACATGTCCGACTTGAAACCAATGGGTTCGTAGCTGATGATCTCTGGAGGAATAAACTCAGGGGTTCCAAAGAGAACGCGGACGGGAGCCTTTGTATCCAGCCGTTGGGCCAGGCCAAAGTCAATGATCTTGATTTGGTGGCTAGTGCGGGTGTGGCACATGATGTTCTCCGGCTTCAGGTCCAGATGCACCACGCTCTGGCTGTGCATGTAGGCCACTCCGTCGCACACCTGTCGCAGGAACAGGATGCAGTCCATCTCGGTCAGGGTGAAGTCGTCAGCCACCACCCGTTCAAATAGTTCGCCACCAGTGATGCTACAAATATAATTTGTATGGTAATAAGGATCATTCAACTAACGTCAGCAAAACTTACTACTCCATCACCATGACAATTTCCCTTGGACTTTCGAAGGAGGCGGCCAGTTGGAGTAACTTTGGATGCTGTAGCGATCGCATGATGGAGATCTCCTCGAGCACCTTCTGTCGGTCTTGGGACTTGATGCACTTGATCACCTTGGCGGCCAGAAGTTGCTCCGGTTGTCCTCGCTCCTGCACTTTGTAGACGATGCCAAAGCGCCCTTTGCCCAGCTCCTCAATGATCTCGAATCGGGACTTGAAGTCTCCGCCGGACTGAACGCTCACCGACTGGCCAAAGTGGTCGGTGGCATCCGATGCTGTCCTCTGTGGCTTGCTGGTGATCTGCACCAGTTCACTGGCCTGTCCGGGTTCACTGCGTCCGTGGATGTTCTCAGCTCTGACCCTGAATCGGTACTGCATCTGTGGCTGGAGGTTCTTAACGGTGTAAGCTAATGTGTCCACCACTCGGGTCACCTGCTGCCAGTCATCCTTATCACAGTCCTCTCCAATGGTCTGCATTTCGATGCTAAAGGATTTGAAAAAGTATTTATTATATTATCAATCTTGGGAACTATTTCTTCTGCTTTTGGTTAGATACTCACATAAATCCTGTGATCATGCAGCCGCCATCGTAGGGTGGACCACACCAGGCCACAGCCACGCGATCTGGTCCCAGGGATACGCTGGGTTGGCCACTTGGTGGCTCCGGAGGTCCTTCCACCGCCACCGAGGCGGCAGAGGCCTCCACTCCGTAGTCGTTCATCACTTCCACCGTGTACTTGCCGCTGTCATCCGCCGAGATGTCCGTGATGTAGAGCGTCGACTGTTGGCCAGTCGTCCGGATCGTCACATTGGAGCTCTCGATAATGGGATGGCACTGCGGAGAAGAAAAGATAAGGGTTTAGAAATAAGATAGATGGATGCTCTTTTACAACGGGCACAAAAATAATTTAACAAGATATTTTACTAAATTTAATTTAGTGCGAATGAATACAACATTTTTAAATACGAACCGTAATTTTTAAACACTAATTAATTTTAAAACGCTAAGAAATTATTCTATTGTAACCAGAAAATCATAAAATTGTTGAAAAAATATGTTGGTTACTCCCAAAGAAATTATTTACATTGCCATTAGTGTGAAAATTAGATAAATTTGAGGCCTCTTCAAGATAAAAGTATGACGAATCACTCAATTTGGGGTGATTTATTTAGCCAATGTTCAGGTAGTGTAGCTGAGCACTCAGCGCCCTGGCAGCCAACCTTCGCTGGTGCGACTCGCCCAGCATTTGCGGTTTGCAACCATTACGTAGCCGTCTAGGCAACCCAACAGCCAAGCAAGCCAAGCAACCCAACTGGCCCAGCAAACCCAAGCGAACAACACCGCAAACTGATCGTGACACAGTCACAATCGCAGCCAGAGAGCTAGGCTAAATGCCCAAAGCGAGACAGTGGGCTATCGCGATAGGGAGCAGAGTGGGCTTACGGCAGATAAAGAATATGGACCCCTAATCCCCATGGCCAAATTGGGTCAAGATTGCACAACAGCTCGCTCCGATTGAAAACCGGACCAATTACCATAAGCCTACTGTGGCTCAATAATACATAATTAAGGTGGCGTTATAAAAATAACCCTTTTGTACCCAACTCAAAGATCCAAACCAAAAGTAATGCTCTAAAAATAACCCCATTAGGGAGTACCTACCGCCTTGTACCAGATGACTTTGGTGCCCGGGAATGGCTCGTAGCGGACGCTCAGCCGAACATGTCCGCCGATCAGGGCGGTGCAGTCCTCGGGGCGTGTCAAAATGCAACTTCTGGCCGCCAGCGAGGAACAGGAGCTGTTGCCCCTGATGGCGGGCAGGACCAGGAGGCTGGTGTAGGTGCGGGTGGCGGGGATGCGCCGCGACTCCGCCTGCGGGTGCTTCACCTGCAGACACACTTCTCCGCTCCTCGAAGCGGTGACGTCACGCATGCGCAGCAGCCGAATGCCGTTCTCGGGATATGACTCCAACTGGAAGTAAGAAATCGGAATGGAAACATATGCTTCATTAGTTAAGGAGGATATAGACACTGGGGGAAAAACAGCACAATAAACCCAGAAACAGAAATCTTGATTAAAGAGTTATTTTGTTTTTAATTAAACCATATTATTGAGCCCGCTCAAAGCTTTTTAAATTGATATTTTATTGGGCCATTAATATCATTAAGCTTTGTTATTGAAAGATATTTTCTGGCACGAATTGTTCAATTCTTTCTATTGTGTTAATAGTACTTTAATGATTTCTTTTTCTGGAAAGAGAATTATGCACATTTTAGGACAGTAGATGGAGGAATCAACAAGCGAATTACTAAATGATATATTGTTTATTTCGATCAGAAAGTCTGAGAAAGTTATTCGCTGTGTAGCCCGTACACATGGGTAAACAATTATATACTGTATGCACAAGTGTCTGGAGAGGGAGCGACCTATCCGGATCCGGAGCAGGGCGACTGACGCGACGCGGACTGAGGTTCCTATAGAACTGAAAAGCCTCTCCGCGGCACGCAACAATTAAGCGAGAATCGGGAATGGAAACTAAGCCACGAGCGGACCTCGCCAACGGAATTCCATGAGCGGACCGAAGCGAACGATCGTGACAATGACACTTTCACGCCCGCTCTCATTTTCATTGGAGCACAAACAAGGTTCCCTTATCGACGGGGAATAGGTGTAGCTATTAGTTATAGGGCTTAAATGCCACCGATATTGATACTGGCACTGGCACTCGGATGCAATCCATTCGCGTCGCCTACCTGTGACATCTTGTCACGCCCTCGGTTTTCGATTCTGATTCTGATTCTGATTCCGATTCCGATTCCAAATGGGTTTCTGATTGAGATTGGGGCTCTGATTTTCCAAGCATCTGGAGAGGGGACTATCTGATTTTGAGGAATTTTCTTCGGGGAGCTCGGCGAGCGCGATGTGAGCCGCTTGAGCGCCGACGAGCGAGTGTTTCATCGCAACATCGTTGGCATGCAGCTCGCATGCCGCCGCACTTCAATCTTTTCGGGTCTCCTAAATGTGGCTTATGCAAATGAGCCAGCTCTCTTGCCTCTTCGCCTTCGATATACGTATGCATATAAGTATATGCTCACAATTATTATTATTGTTTTCTCCGGCAAAAGTGCGAACAAGCAGCCTGCGGCAAGGCAAGAGTTGAAAATGAAGAGCTCTGTGCTCTGTGCTCGGTGGCCGGTGGCCTGTGTTTTTGCTTTTTGGGCCAAATCACTTTGTTTGGGTTTATTGCGACAAAATACGCATACGCACCGTCATGTTAGGTGAGTCATCCGCCTGGGCCAATAGCTGCCCGTTGAGATACCACTCGGCTTCCGCTTCGCAGGGGAAAACACGGGCGTAGAACAGGGCTTCCTCGCCGGAACCACAGACCACGGGCAGAGGTGACTTCAGCAGCTGGACGCACTCCTCGTCCGGATGTCGCAGATCCCGCTCCACAACACACAGCTCCCCACTGCTGCTGCAATCGCATCCGCTGGAGAAGGAGACGGAGAGGGAGTCCGAGTCGGAGGTGGAGTCGTTGGTGGAGTCGTTGGTTTCGCAGGTAAACACCTGACAGCTGTAAATGCCCGAGTCAATGTCGAAGGCGTCGTTGATTCGCAGGCACAGGCGTCCATTGCCGTGATCAATGTAACTGCAACGGGCAAATAAAAGTGCGATAAATAGTTGCCACTGCGTATGGTGAACAAAAAACGAAAAAACTAAAACAAGCGCTGTTGTTATTCAATCGAAGCTAATCGCTCAAAAGTGGCTGCTTATAAAACGCTCTGTTGCGGTCAACCGTTTACCATAGTTCTCACGCTTTAATTGAAGTGAAAATATTGCCACTTTGTAAGTTTAAAGGGAGAAGAGATGATTTAATTATATATTATTTTAAATGAAAATTACATAAAATTTACGTAACGGTAAGCATAATTAACTGGGTTATAACCACTAGAACTGTGGCAAAAAAGTTGTCTATAATTTAAAATGGTATTTAAAGTAATGCACTTGTAAGATTGATAACCCATAGTTATTTTGTATTTTTTTCGCTTCTAAAAATAGTTTAATTATTTGTATGAACGTAATGAAATGTATGGCTTTTTATTGTGATTAAAACCGATTGTATTCGGAGTTATTAAGTAATCTCCCATCATCCTCCGATTACTCACTTGAACTCAGCGCTGTCCGGCAGAACTTCGCCATTCCTCAGCCACACGTAGCTGTAGGGCTGATCGCAATCGATGGCGCAGCTCAGATCGATCACCTCGCCCTCGAGTGCCTTCGTAATCTCGGGCAGTGGTTCCGTAATGACGGCTCGCCGCCTCAGAATTTCCGTATTCGGCTCGTGGAAGGTGACTGTGGTGGAGCTGATCAGGGGGTCGTGGTCGCCGCTGATGATGCAGGTGTACAGGCCCTCGTCCTCTCGCGTCACGTTGTCCACGATCAGCAGGGCCATAGACTCCTCCTCCCGCAGCAGGATGTGCACGCGGTCCGAGGCCTGCAGCTCCACGTTGTTGTGGTAGAACCTCACCGAGGGCACCGAAGAGCCCCGATACCCACTTGCCAGAGCCATGCGTCCGCCAATTGCTAAAGGAAATAAGAAAATCAAAGAATTAAAAATTCATATCAGATTAATCATCTATGAAATTGCAATTCCAAGGAACCTTAATGATCCAGTTAACTGCTCTACCCACCTGTGGATGGACCCATGATGCGCCTGTACAAGTGGGCATTTCGGCGGGAGGAGGAGGCGCGAACACTTCTCACAGAAGGCGACTTTGAGTAGCGGGAACTGCGGATGACGTCCAAGCGGGCGGTGGCCTCAATTCGCCCGAAGTCGTTCTCTAACGTAACCCGATAAAGTCCCGCATCGTCGAAGGACACCTCGTCGATCTCGATGATGCGAAGGTCGTCGATCTCCTTGACGGCGATGCGCGGCGTGGGGGTGACAATCAGGCCATCCTTGTCCCAGGTGGCCCACGGAGTGGGATGCCCGGAGATGGCGCACTGGAAGCGCACGCTGTCGCCCTCCTCGACGACTCGGTTGTAGGGAATGGCCAGGAACTTGGGCGCCGTGATGGCGTTTCGGGCGTCGCTTCGCCTCCGCTCCGCCACGCCGCTCAGATCGATGCTGCTGGTGCGATAGGACAGGCGCAGGGGAGAGAAGCTCCTCGCGGGCGTGGACCTTGGCGTGGAGCGCGGAGTGGAGTGGGCGGAGAGCAGGCCACTGGGACGCGTCAGCTGGCGACTCAGCATGTTCTCCTTCTCCTCGGGCACGTCGACGATTATGCAGGCGGAGGAGAGACTGCGGCCCACCGAGTTCTTGGCCACGCACGTGTACTCGCCCTCGTCCTCGGGATACACGCGCGGAATGCTCAGCGTGGCCTTGGTCCCGTCGAACGACATCACGTAGTCCCGGTCGCTGGGCACCACGTGCCCATCCTTCTCCCAGATGATGAACGGCTCCGGATCGGCCTCGACATGGCATTCCAGCGATATCGCATCCCCGTCGCAACAGCGCAGGTTTCGCAAGTTGCGAACGAATCGGGGAAGGGTCTCGATGTTGCTGTTAGTCACATTAATAATATTTATTTAATAAATATTACATGGTATTCACATTTATAAACTCACCCATGTCGCGTGTGCACTTTATCCATGCGGCTTTTGTTGAGAATATCTGGTGATAGTAAAAAAAAGTTACCAAAATGTACGAATAAAACCTTTCGTTAACTAAAATAGCTGCAAATATTTTGGTTTAAAGTGGGCGCCCTTAAAACCCTGCTTGCTTATATGCAAGCAGTCCACATTAGTTAAAAAAGGGTTTTTCGCTTTGACGGCTTTTAGCTGTATTTTTATCAACTATAAACTGCTTACACTGATACACTGCTTACCACTAAAAATCGATATCTGCATGCATATATCGGTTTTCCCACATCTCTAATCCCCAATGTTTATTTTTAGCAAAGCAACGAATTTGTCTACTTTTTCCGCATTAACTTCGGAGGTTACAAAATGCGGGGCATGATCATAGTGCCCATGGACCTGGAGCCCGGCTTTCGCAAGGCGGACATCCATAACATACCCGCACTTAATAGCGGAATGGTGTTTAATTTTTGCCTATCTGCATCTTCTGAGAAATCAAAACAAATGTAAGTGCCGTCTCTTTCGCACACATTTAAATATACGTTTCGTATACTTGATATATTCCATTTCTCCCCACAGATCTACAGAGAAAAATGATCTCTTAACGGATTATGTCCAAATACGAAGGCATGGCAATATCTGCGAACTTAAGGGAATGGTATTTCCTGCCTCGGATTTTGCCAATACGGAAACCCACGCCAATGTGGCGCTCAAGGTCGCGGAAAGTGCGCGGATCATCACGGATGGCCAGTGCAGCTTGTGTGCCACAACTGGTGAGGTTTACCCCTATAGGTATAGTAGATGATCCTAATATACAAATCATCCGATAGGAACCTGTGCCCACGTCGTGGCCTTCACCTTCTGGCTGCTTAACAAGAGCACCGATCGAAATCCCTCGGCTGTCGTCGAATTCTGGGGCCACGAACTGGAAAACCTGGTGCAACCGGAACCAGCAGCGCCCGTTCGCATATGTGATATGATTGCCAAGGATGAGGTGCGAATAGAGAGCGAACTAAACTCCCAGGAGTTGAGCACCAGCGAGGGCGAGGCCTTTTTGGAATCCTTGCTCGAAGAAGTAGCAACCTGTGGCAGAGATTCGGCGCTCTACCGCCAATGTGTGGAGACGACTGAGGAATTCGAGCCGATGTTCGTTCACCATATGTTGCTCCGAGCAGCAGAATTCAACATCGTCGATTTGCCCAGTTATGTGCAGTTCATGGAGGCTCAGGCTCAGACGGGAATCATCGAGAGCCTCTACGATGTTACACGAAACCAGTACAAATCTCGACTGTGGGTGGAGGTGCAGTACATGCGTATCCGTTGCTCAATGATGCACATGATTATCAACCGCAAAAGTGCCGAGGACGATGATCAGATCTTCAACATGATGTTCTGCAAGGGAAGGGACAAGAACAACGAGGATCGGGTGCAGCAGAAGGAGCACAAGCGATTCATATTGAAGCAGACGGAGAAACTGGAGAACAAGAAGTACGTTGAGTGCGGACTGATCCTGCACGAGAGCTACCCCTTTCTGGTGGCCGCCCCTGATGGAATTACGGACGACCACATCGTAGAAATCAAATCACCAAAGACTGAGGAGGATTTTGAGAAGTACCTGGAGGCTCGCGAGTCGATAGCACCAAAGTACATGGCCCAGATACAGATACAAATGTTTGCTGCCAACGTGAAGAAGGCGCTCTACTGTGTGCTGAGTCCAACCTTCGAGATAAACGGAGCGCTGCACTATGTTTGGGTGCAGGCAGATCCGGAGTTCGTAACCAGTTTGCTGGGCATGGCAAAAGACTTCTGGCAGGATATCGTTTTCCCCCGTTTGTTAAATACCTACCCGCAGCTGGGTTAATAAAGATTAAGTGCAGCTTACCTTTGGCGAATATTTGTAGCGATATTACAGCCTTGGCCTCGCCATGGCAATTGCTGGCTATCACGGAATAGGTGCCGGTGAAGTCCAACTTGGCGCTGGGTATTTCTAATCTGTACTCGGGACCCTCTCCAATGCGGCGGAAGTGGGGCGCGTCCTTGTAGTACTCCGGCTGCGGGCGAAACAAAAATGCTGCGTTCAGTGGGCTGAATGGCTCAAGGTCACCGCGAGATGAGCTTCGTCTATAAGGACTTGTGCGGCTGTCGCAGATCATGAATCACGACTGTTTTTATACAAATGTCGGCTGACGCTGAAGCTGACTTGGCTGGCGTTGTTATTATTGTGTTAAGCTTATGGCCATATAAGCACAAAATTCAGTTTCGAGACTGTCGAATAGGAAAACTGGTAATGGTTGCCCACCCTGACCTCCTACTCCTCTTGCTCCTCTAGCTCCTCCTGCCTGCCTGCTGCTCGCTTCCTTGGTCGCCAGTGCACGATGCAGTGGCTATTAATATTTTTTATTTTGTCGCTTTTTTTCCTTTTTGGCTCGCGTAATTGTTTGTTGCGAACAAGCCTGTTATTTGATATGGGTTGAACTTGAATTAGCGTTTGACAGCGAATTGGATTTGTAAGATTTGTCTGAGTGCCTGTGGTCTTGTATAACGCGCACCATTTCAATATGACGCACTTGTCCGTAATCCGAGCCAGCTGCCCAGCTAGTCTATTCTTCACGTGCTTTTGTAGCCACTTTGTTCTCGGATCGGGTTTTGAGCTGGTTACCTCTTGGAAGGGATGCTCCGCTTGTTTGGACACTTTGTTCGCGCTCGCGGATCAATCAAAAAAATAAATTCTATCCGCGCGAGCAACTGTGGCAACTCAAAAAAAAAAACGTTTCGCTCTACTAAAGTGTCTGGCCCACTGGGAGTTGCCTTTTTATAGTGAACTTGAGCGGAAACAAAACTGTTCAAACTTCCTGATGCGAGTAGGGCCCACGTCGCTGGTTCACCTGAACTTGAGCCACTGATAAAGCAACGGGTTTGAATCGCGAGGAGGCAGTGATAGAACGACCCACATTTGCCAACGCCGCGAATGCAACTGGCCGACCGACCGACGAGCGACGGGGAACTGCGCATGTGCAACATTGTCAACGCTCGCAGTACGTCACATACTCACATTCAGAAAATCGCGCAGCCAAACGACTTCGGGCTTTGGATCGCCGACCACCTCGCAGAATATGATGACGTTGTCGCCCTCGTAAGCTTCGCTGGAACGCGGCTTCACCACAAATAGGGGCTCCTTGGAATAACTAAGGGAAAACATAATTGGTAAGAGATGGTAAAGAAGAAATTTTGTGTTTAATGCAATACTTACGGCAGATCGTCAGTCTTGATGGTGGGAATTTCCAGGGGTCGCTGCGGCGTCACAGATTTGTTCTCCTCCTCCTCGATGGCGACCCGGCAGATTGTCTCCACTTTTCCCACCACATTGGAGGCCACGCACACATAAATGCCGGCATCCCGAACCGTAGCATCGGCAATGATTAGCTCCACAAAGCCATTCGAGTCCAAGGTGGCGGTCAGCCTTCGACTGGGACGCAGACGCATGCCATTCCTGTGCCAGGTGACACCCACGGCTGGATAGGCTTCCACCTTCGTGGACAGACGGATTTCGGAGCCCTCCCGGAATATGTAGAAGGGATCCAGGGGAACGTAGAAATCTGGGGAGATGTAGGCCCTGATGCCCTTGTCCACCACCAGGGTGCAGTGACAGGACACGGATCCCAGTTCGTTCTTGGCCAGGCAGGTGTAGGTTCCACTGTCGTCCAGCGTGGTGGCTGCGATTTCCAGCGTAAAGAACTGTCCCTCGGCGCTGATGAGATGCTTCCTATCCGTTTGAATCAACTGATCGTCCTTGAACCATTGGATCTCTGGCATGGGATAGCCCACAATCTGGCAGGTCAGACGCACTGGATAGGTCACCTGGACGCGGCGATCCCTCAGACGCATGGTGAAGATGGGCAGGGAATCACCAACATCAGCCACATTGCGCCCATGGGCAATCTCCTTCAAACGCGAATCCGCCTCGTAAATCCGCGAATCCGAGACAACTTGGAGGCGGGCAAAGGTGGAGACTCTGCCCTTGGAGTTGGTGGCCTCGCAGGTATAGCGACCCGAGTCCAATTCGCTGACAGTGGCGATGGTCAGAGCGCAGGTGGAACCGATCTGGCGGATCTTGACGCGCTCCGAACTGCTGCTCAGCTGAATGCCGTCCTTGAACCAGGTGACCTGCGGCCTGGGAGCTCCGCGCATGTTGCACTGCAGCGTGAAGGAGGAGCCCAGCAGAGCCTTCGCCTGTCCCGGCAGGATCTTGACGAACTCCGGCAGGCACTCCACTCCGCCCACTTGAAGAGGTGAACTGGTCTGAACGGTGGGACCCCAACCGTATCGGTTCTTGGGGGTCACCCGGAAGTGGTACTCCACATTGGGCTTCAGGTTGAAGGCATCAAAGGAATTGATGGGCGTCAGGCCCAACTCCCGCCAGTAGGCTCCGCCCTCGTGACCCACAACCCAGGCCTCCACCTTGTACGCCATCACCGGTGCCGAGTTGGCACTAACCGGCTTGCCCCACGAAAGCGAGATGTGGGTGGGTCCGGAATCAACGACCAGTGGCTCGGTGGAAATGCAACCCGGTGGATCTGAAGGATGATATACAAACAAAATCGTAAATGAATGCGGTTCAATGGGCTGGTGACAGATCTTAGGTTGACCTCAATTAAAACTCGTTACGCCCCGGAGAAATATTTTTTATTTTCTTGTTTCCACTACGTAAATGTATAAGCTGGATTGCTGTGCTTTATATAATACATTATTTATATATGTAGGTACGATAATAAAAGTAATTAAGTCAATCGTTCAGAAGTACAAACAAAAGCTAAGTACAGGAATTCTTTCTGTGTGGCTGGGTTTCTACGATCTCACAGGAAATATCTTTTGTCGTTTGTTGTGGAGGTTGAACCGATCTGCAAGAGTTCACCAGTCAGGTTTGGAGGTATCTTTGGACACAAAGGGACACGCCAAACGGACAACACGGACACAGAGGGCTTATCACAGGATCTAAGGACACGTCTAACATATAACTCTGATAAAGAACTCACCTCTGAAGTACGAAGTGTCGCTGTAACTTTCCAGGGGAAGGCCCCAGCGTGTTTGCGTTGGCGTGGCGGAGCGAGCGCGCGGGTTTACCTATAAGTTTTGTAGTCAGAACGATATATTATATTGCTTTGAATGAACACATAGAGTCAGGAAAGTAGACTGAGGGCTAGAGTATGATATATATTATATTTGGTGCTTGTCGAGGGAGGCGTTCGAAATATTGCAAAGTAAATTGTATTAATAGGCTTTATTCATCTTTCTTTTTGGGTATTTTAATCTGGAATTAGAGAAGCAGAGAAGAGAGAGAGAAAGATTTGCAGCGGTTAGTTAGCGAAAGCGATAGAGGGACAGCCACAAGCAACAGAGGGGGTTTCTCGAACACACAGATGCCAAAGGACTCTTGGCCTACCGTCACGGTGACGAATATCCTGTCGGTGCCGAAGTTGTTGCGGGCCACCACGAAGTAGGTGCCAGAATCGGAGATCTGGGCCTGCTGCACTGAGAATCTTGTGTAGTCGTCGGACACCTCTTTGCTGACCCGATCCGACTGGGTGATGTCCTTCGTGCCCTTCATGAAGGTGACTGTGGAGTAAGGATTGCCCTATTAAAAAAGTACCTATTTAAAAAGGGGATCTACTTACGCTTTGGTTTTGGATCGCCGGCAATGCGGAAGGACAGCGAGAAGGGATCACCCACGGCGATCTTCATTTCGGTGTCCGGTCGCGACAGGAACAACGGAGGACGCTCGTCCTTCTCAGCACCAACGGCGACATCGATGTTGACGTGGGACTCGATGCGACCGAATGCATTGGAGGCCCGGCAGGTGTAGGTGCCCTCGGTCTCGGGGCCGGCATTCATGATGGTCAGCGTGTAGACACCGCGGTCGGCCAGGGCCTTGACAGTGGGTCCGTCCACCACCTGGCGACCGCGCAACCATTTGACCTCGATCGGTGTGCTCGTCTGCATGAACTCCGCCGAAATGGCCACGGTGCCTCCGTTGCAGACCGTCTGGTTGCCCAGTGGCAGCAGGAAGTGCGGCTTGTTGGGATCGCGGTGGAAGAATCCGTGCGTCTTCTCCAGCGAGTAGTGCTGGCGACCCTTGAAGTCCACCTGATGGGAGATCTTGTTCTCGGCTCCCTCGTTGCGGGCCACACACCAGTAGACGCCCGAGTCCTTCTCCGTCGGATTCACGATGACCAACTTGGCATAGCCATCCGCCTGGTCGCTCAGCTTGAACTTCTCTCCATTCTCCAGGGGCTCGGTGCCCTTTATCCACTGGATCTCAGGACGAGGCTGGCCACGTACGCGGCAATCCAGAACCAACTCATTCTCGTTGAGAGAATATGTGTCTGCAAAGGAAGGAGATCAATTAGTGGTTCATAATTTAAAGATTGGTTAACAAAAGCGGTTAGAACATCAAAGATGCACAGAAGCGAAGGCGATATCCGTTGTTGTTTGTTTTTAGTTGGGTAATACCTCGAATGGGCTGCGTAAAAGTACTTGGCAGTGGGGCTTCCTTGAAGTTCTTGTATACCCGTAGTTGGGCATGGGTCAGACTCTCCCCAAAATCGTTGGTGGCGCAACAGGTGTAGTTGCCACTGTCATCGGCTACCGCCGCAAAAATCTCCAGCGAAGCTTCTCCATTTAGATACAAAGTCTGATAACGATTGTCTCCCTTGGGCAAAGGTTTGTGGTTCTTCAGCCACTCGATGTGGGTGTTCTCGTCTCCGGATACGGCGCACAAAAGTCGTAGATTGGCCCCCTCCGAAACAGTGCGATCGTGCAATAGGGTGTGGAACAGTGGCTTTGCCTTGCCCACACTGCGCAGGACTCGGTCCCCAGCTCGATGGAGTTCCCCATTGCCATTCACCTGACTGCCGGCACTCAAATACGACTGACTACGCGACCAATGGGAGCTGTCTTGATCGGTTATGGATGGTATCTCCTCCTGGCTAACGTTAATCAGGCGTTTCAGATCGGCTGCCTTGATGGTGGTACTGGTGGAGTCAATTCGATCCTCGTGCTCTGCATAGCAGGCAAAGATGCCGCAATCGGAGGAGATGGGGTTACGGATGATCAGCTTCCTCACGCCGCCGGGTTCCTCGATGGTCCTGTACCGATTGTTGCATATAGAGTGATCATCCCGCATCCAACTGACATTTGGACGTCCATTAACCAGACAACTCAGCACAATCTCGTTTCGCTGGGCATCGTAAGACTCTGAAAAGTATAAATAGAAAGATCAGATAGATGTATTGGATGGATGTTACTGGAATAACTACCTGTTATGCCAGTCGAGAAGCTCTCCGGCAACTTTCCAGCGGACTGATCTAGCACACTGAGCTGGCCAGCACTTTCAACGGTGTGTCTGCTGTTCTTCACCACACATCTGTAGTGACCACTATCCTCCACTCGGGCATCATAAATTTCCAGACTGATGGCCCCGTTGATGTTGTATATCTTGTGGCGTGCGTCTTTGGTGACACGCTCCTCATTTCTCAGCCAGTGAACGTCCTCGATAATGCCAGTTACGTAGCAAATGAGCTGCGCCTTGTTGCCACTTCCAATGGTCATGGTCTTCAAGCTGGTCTCCAAATTGAGTTTCAGTTTTGCCTCGCGAGCCTTTGCCTTGGCAGCAGCACTATCGTTGGCCGCGGCAGGAGAGGACTCGTCCCTTTTGATCTCCTGGATCACCTTGTCAATGGGTTTCTTTTCAGCAGCTCTCTCCCTTACATAGTCGGAGGCCTGGACGAACTTGCTGATCTTCATCTGGCCGTTTTCGCTCTCCGCATAGCAGGTATACAAGCCGGAATCGTTGCTGCCAAAGTTGTTGATGGTCAGAAGCTTCACTCCGTCGGCCTGCTCCTCATACTGGTACTTGCTGCCCTCGACAGGCAACAGGGTATTGTCCCTTTGCCAGTAAATGTGGGGCTTGGGACTGCCCGACACCTTGCACTCCAAAGTGAGCTGGTTGCCCTGGGAATGATATGCATCTGAAACATGGACGAAGATAAAGAGACAGGCCACAAGACACATAAGACAGAGTACTAAATGAGGTTTGAAAAGGGATGCATTGGGTGTTAGTTTTCTTAAGGTAATGCTTAAGACTACGGATCGAGATACACTTAGCTCAGAGGCACAAAGACAATCACCTGAACGCACCGAAATGGACGACTCCTGATACCACACATCACATGATCCTACCTTTGATGCCCACTACAAAGGTGGGCGAAATAACCTCCGGTTTGCCCAGGCTGTACACAAACAAATTGCAAGTGCTCACGATTTCGTTTTCACTGCCCCTGACCCGCAGAGTGTACTCTCCCGCATCCTCCTCGGTGACCCCGACGAGGTTCAACCAGGCGATGCCGTCCTGCATGGACATCTTGCTCCTCGGGCCGAAGGCAATCGGCGTCTCACCGAAGAACCACTTGGCCGTCGGCTCGGGTCCGTCGATGTTCACCATCCACTTGACGTTGCTGCCCGACTTGACGGTTCGGTTGGACAGGAAGTTCCTGAAGTAGAGGCGCTTCCTTAGATCCGGCGGAGGTGGCACTTCGCGCCGGGAGCTGCCCTGCTCCTCCTCGTCCGGCTTGGGCTTCCTGCGGCGCCTCTCGCCGCCCTCGGCTGCTCCTTCGGCTCCCTCGGCTGCTTCTTCTTCCCCAGCTGGAGCGGCCTCCTCATCGCCGGCCGGACGCGGAGGTCGGCCCTCCCTCGGGGGCGAGATGCGAGGTGCCCTCACACGTGGCTCCACCGTGATCATGTGGACGATCTCCGTCTTGCCCTCGCGATTCTCCGCCTGGCAGACGTACTTGCCGGAGTCCGAGGCCTTGGGATGGCTGATGAACAGCTCGCAGGTGCCGTCGTCGTGGTCCACCTGCTGGTACTTGTCGCTGTTCTCGATCTTCACGCCGTCCTTCACCCACGTGACCGACGGAGTGGGCAGACCGCGCACATGGACGTCCAGCTGCAGCTCGTTGATCTTGCCGTGCATCGTGTCCTTGATGTTGCGCGTGAACGTGGGTGGCACATCGCCCGTGCCCGGATCCTCGTACACCTCCAGGCGGCACGAGGTGGAGGCCTCGCCCGTCTCATCGCGACCCCAGCACTTGTACTCGCCATTATCCTCGGCCGTGGCGCTCATGATCTCCAGCAGGCAGAGGCCTTCGCTGTACCTGCCCCTCAGCTTCGGCGAGTTCTGGATCTGCTCGCCGTCCTTGAACCACTTGACCTGCGGCTCCTTGGCCTCCAGGAAGCAGGAGATCTTCACCTTGGATCCCTCGGCCACCACGCGGTCCCTCATCGAAGTGCTGAAGTGGATGGCGATGTTCTTCTCCCTGCGTTTGCTGGACAAGCTGGCCGTATCCGAGGCGTAGTCGGACGCGTAGGCCGAGGAGGCTGCTTCGTCCTCCTCCTTGCGACCGCGCTTCTTGGTCTTGCCCTCCTCTGCCTCGGAATCGGGCTCTGCAGCCGCCGGCTTCTTCTCCACCGGCTTCTCCACCTCCTTGGGGCGCAGAAGGCTCTTGTCGGCATGGAACACGCCGTGGATGTTGTCCGCAATGTGGTGGGCCTGACCCTCGAAGAGCACGTAGTGCGAGATCTCCATCTTGCCGGCCCGGCTCTCTGCCTTGAGCACATACTTGCCGGAGTCCTTGTTGTCCGGCCGGTCGATGATGAGCTCGCAGGTGCCGTCCTGGTGCTCGATCAGCTGGTAGCGACCGCCGCTCTGGATCTCGATGCTGTCCTTGAACCACTGCACCTCGGGCGTGGGCTGGCCGCGCACCGCCGTCTCCAGGATCAGCTCGTTGGTGTTCAGGTGGTAGGTTTCTGGGAGAGAAACACCGATACGGGTTACGTAAAGTCAGTGCCATAGAAAAGAAGCCATTGCATAATGGCCGTAGACGGCAGTCAATGGCATTGCACAACCAAAGGCAATGTCGTTGGCTAATAATAGACGGACGGATCTAGCGATCGATCGATCGATCGGATAGCTATTATCCCATCCGATACCCAAGATCTTACCTTTCAGCGAGCGAATGAAGACGGGCTGCACATCCGTGTTGACCTTCGGCTGGTAGACGTGCAGCATGGCCGAGGTGGTGATCTTGCACGACTCGTTCTGGGCCACGATGGAGTAGGTGCCCGAGTCCTCGGCCTTGGCGTTGGTGAACTCCAGCACCGCCAGGCTGTCCCTGTTCATGTTGCGGATGTTGGGGCCGTAGGTGACGTTCTGGTCGTCCTTCAGCCACTTGATCATCGGCTGGGGGCCGCCGACCACCGCCTGCAGCTTGACCTTGGAGCCCTCGGCCACGTAGCGGTTGGACAGGTTGACCGTGAAGTAGAGCATCTGCTTGGGCGAAGGATCCGGCATCCGGCTGCGTCGCTCGTAGCCGCCTTCGCCTCCGGCGCCCTCCTCGTCGTCCTTCTTCTTCTTCTTGCCCTTGGCCTTGCCGCCCTCGGCGGGCTCGCCACCTCCTTCCTGCATGGCGATGGCGGACAGGATGCTTGACCGGCGCGACGTGTGGGTGGTGTCGACGACAACCGTGTGGGTGGTCGACTGACTGCCCAGCTTGCTCTTGGCGGTGCAGACGTAGACGCCGTTGTCATTGGTCGTCGGCTTGTTGATGATCAGCTCGCAGATGCCGTCCAAGTGCTCGATCTGCACCACCCGATCGTCTAGCACCACGGGTATCTGGTCCTTGGTCCACGAGATCTCCGGGCGGGGGGTTGCCGCGCACCTTCGTGTCGAGAATCAGATCGTTCTGCGAGGCATGGTACACATCTGAGAACAAAGTCAATCAATCAATTTGGCTATTTTTATAGCCGATCGACCTCAATTGCACAAGCAACCAGCTCGAACGTCGGACACACAAGTGCACACACTTGCACAACAAGTGGAACTGTTTTCGGGGGGATCGTGTAACCGACAACTACAGAACACACACACAAATCAAGTGTTGGGTGGATGGAAATACCTCGCAGGGGCAGGGCGAAGATGGGCTCCGACTCATCGCCATCCGCCTGGGCGGCGTACACCTTGAAGTAGCAGGAGGTCTCGATCTCGCTGAGGTCGTTCTTGGCCACGCACTTGTAGACGCCGGAGTCGTTCGCCGTCACGTTGCTCACCTCGAGGATGGCCTTGCCCTCCTCGGAGAGGTTCTTGATGTTGCCACCGACCACCACCCACTTGTCGTCCTTCATCCAGCGGGTGTTGGGCTCGGGTCCGATCACGGTGGCCACGAACTTGATGGTCGACCCCTCGAGCGCCATGCGATCGCGCAGCTGGGTGGCGAAGGAGAGCTTCTGTTTGGCGGGCACCAGCTTCTCCGGAGTGGCCCGCACCGGGTGCAGACGCGCCTGCTCCTCCTCGGCCTCGGCCCGCCTCTGGTCGGAGTCCGCCTTCGAGCGGAGGGCCTCCTCCATGGCCTTCTTGGCCTGCTTCAAGCTGTCCAGCTGGATCTTGTCGCGGGCGTGGAAGATGCCGGGCACGTGGTAGTGAAGGTTCCTGGCCACCTCGACCGTGTGGTTGATCTGCACCTCCCCGCTGGAGTTGATGGCCTTCAGGGTGTAGATGCCGCTGTCCTTGTTGCCCGGCTTGTAGATGAGCAGCTTGCACACGCCGTGCGCCTCCTCCAGCATGGTGAACTTGTAGCTGGGCTTCACCTGGAAGCAGCCGCGCCACCAGGTGATCACCGGGCGCGGATACCCGTGGACGTGGCACTCGATGGTCAGCTCGTCGTCGCGCATGTGGTAGTACTCTGAAAAAGGGGGGCAAACGGGAAGCTCTTAGGGAGGCCACGCTTGGGAAAGCGCACGCCGACAAATACCTTTGATGTACTGAATGGAGGGGGTTTGGGTTCGTCCTTGAATATCTCGTAAATGGTGACGATGCACGACGAGGAGGTCTCGTCGTTCTGGTTCGCGATCACGCAGGAGTACTCGCCGGAGTCCAGGATGGTGGTGTTGAGCACCTCCAGCACCAGGATGTTGTTGTTGTTGATGATGCGGTGGCAGCCGTCGCGCTCCAGCTGCTTGCGGTTGTGGTACCACTTGACCGACAGCTCCGGCCCGTCGACGGCGCAGGCCAGGCGCACACTCTGCCCGGCCTCCACGGCGCGGTCGGACAGGAAGTTAATAAACTTGGGGTTGCGGGCCTGCTCCCGGCGACGCTGCCAGTCGGCATCGCGCTCCTTCTCGCTGATCCTCTTCGCCTGGCTGTACTTTCGCATCTGCTGCATGAACTCCTCGCCCTCGGTGGCGGCGATGCGCTGCCAGCGCTCCTCCTCGTGGGGATCGGGGCGCACGAAGTCGTCGGAGGAGTCGCTGCCGCGGCGCTTCTCCTTCTTCGGCGCCGGCAGCTCGTCGTCCTCCTCCTCGGCCTCGCGCTGCTCGTCATCCTCGCCGGCATAGTCCTGATCCTCATCCCCGTAGCCGGCTTCGGTGCCCTCTTCACCCTCCTCGCCCACGGCGGATGGATCCTCCTCGTCCTCCTCCGCCTCGGCCTCGGCCTCCTCCAGGGCCCGCTGCTCGGCCTCCAGGCGCTCCTGCTCCTCCTGTTCCTCCTTCTCCGCCTGCAGGCGCTTCTGGCGCTCCTCGTAGGTCTCGCCCTTGGGCTTCGCCCGGGCAGCCGCCTCCTCGGCGGCCTTGGCCGCCGCCTTGGCCTGCTCCTCCATCTGAAGCACCATCTTGCTCTTCTTCGGCGGCGGCTTGGCCTGCTGCTGCTGCTGTTCGAACATCTTCTTGGTGCCCTTCTGGCCGCCGCCCATCTCCAGTTTCAAGGTCAATTTCGGACTGGGCGACTTCTCCTTCTTCTCCTTCTTCTTGGGCGGCGCCTTCTTCTTGCCCTTCTTCACGGGCTCATCTTCGTCGAGGTCGACGCTGTCCTCGCGATCCTCGCCGCCGAAGTCGCCCAGGTCCTCGCCCTCCTCGCCGGCCAAAGGACTCATGTCCTTGTCGATGGACTTGCGCTGGGCGCGAGGCTTGCGGGCCTTCTTCTCCTTCTTCTTCGGCTTGACCTCCTCGATGATCTCCTCCTCCTCGACCTCCTCGTACTCCTCGACCACGTAGATAACCTCAACGTTGGACACGTCCATTACGGCGGCGCGATCGATCACCGACAGATCGGAGGTTATGTAACGCACGGGCTTCTGCACGTCCAACGGCTCGGAGATATCCATGACGAGGGCGCGGTCGAAGACGGCGATGTTGCAGGTGGTCTGGCTCTTGATGTCCCGGCCCAGCTCGAAGGGCGTCTTCTCCTTCTCCTCGCGCTTCAGGAAGGGCGTGATGCTGCGCCACGTCGAGGGCGTGGCACTGCGGCGCGTCATGTAGAGGGTGAAGGGCGTCTGGCTCCTGCCGTGGATGGGCGTGGCGCTGCGGCCGCGCAGGCTGCCAGGAGTGGGGGACTTGAGCTTGCGCTTCTTTTGCGTCGGCACCTGCAGCGTGTCCTGCGACGGCCCCGCCTCCGGCTCCTCCGAGGCCCTCGGCTCGATGTCTCCGTTCTCGGTTTCACCCATTTCGATTCGTTTGCGCACGGCCTCTTTCGGGTTTCGGTTCGTCGGTTTGGAAGGATAAAACTCGTAAATAAAACTAACCGAAAATATTGATATCCGTCCGAGTTTCTAAATCAATATCTATATATATGTATAGAGCCCGAAACGGTTCGATCGAGAGTTTGGTTTTTGGGACGTGGAACGTCCGTTCGATGCAAAAGAAGATTCACGACTGTCACCGAACGTGGTGAAAATTTCGAAAACACATTCCTTCTCGAATCGATCGGAGTGCCCAATCGATTCGATTGTTATGCTAAAAACAATTTTACGAATTCTGTTTTGTTCGCTGCCGCCGACGTTGCACAGACACACGCATGCCACACTGATTGCCAAAACGCGATTCTATTTAAATACTGTCCACTTTTATTGAATGCACTGCAGCAGCAGGCGGTTAATCCAAGTAAACGCAATTATATAAGTGAGAGCACGGCCACCGACCGACCGACTGCATTAATTGGCTATTTAAAGGGGAATCTATTTGGGTGCGATGATAAAGTGCATCGGTTTTTACCTTTCGCTCCGAGCACTTGCCATCTTTGCCAACCGAAAGTGCGAAACGATTTGTTAGTCAAGCAGCAGCATAAAGTTCGCGATTTACTCGCGATTCAGCCTTACGAACTAGCTTCCTATGTACTAGGTCTATGCTAATTACACACACATGCGAGTGCAAGGTGCCCAGTGCGAGATAGTGGATAAAAGAAATATTTTCACTCGCAATTAAGCACCAATTAAGTTTGAAATTCGGGCATTGGATCACTAGGTAGATGGGGCACAGTCGGCACTTACCTCGAATGTTGCGTGTAAATATTGGCGGGGTGCCAAATTTGCTCGAAGGTGCTTCGTATATAGTCACAAGACAGCTAGTTTCGACTTCTCCATTTTGATTGGACGCTATGCAGCGGTAAATGCCAGAGTCACTGAGTTCGGCCGATTTGATTTCAAGGCACGACAGCCCGTCGTTCAATGTCCTCCTGTACTTGGCACCATTCTCGATGGGGCTGTTCTCCTTGAACCATTGCACACTCATCTCGTGACCCGAAAGTCCGCAGGTCAGCTTGAGGTCGCTGCCGGACGCAGTGTTTCGGTTGGTCAACTGGATGTCAACGGTTGGCTTTCGCTTCGCACTTCGCGACTCCTTTCGATCCTTGTACTCTGAGCCCATCGACTTGTAGGTTTGCAAGCTAACAGAGTCTGAAGTGTCTTCCACATCATACGGCTTCCGTTTGGCACTGGTTTCCCTAGATCCTAGGTCATCGGTCTTCCTAGCTTCAACTTGGATTTCCTCGACCTCGGGTTGTTTGCTTTTCTCTGGTGCCTTTTCGGGGGCAAAAGCCTTTTCAGCCTTTTTGCCATCGGGTTTCTCTTCTTCAGCCGGTTTCTTATCCAAAACCTTTGCCTTCTTAGGTTGAGCTTCAGAGTCCTTGTCGCTCTTTTCAGGTATTTCTTGGGATGTCTTTTCGGAAACAATCTCGGTCAGCCCAGCCTTTTGGGGCTTCTTGTCATCAGCAACTTTGCTTTGTTTCTGAGTTGCTTCATCCAGTTTCTCTTCTTCGGTTGACTTATTTTCCAGAGCCTTAGATTTCTTGGATTTAGTTTTAGATTTAGAGTCCTTGACCTCAGCCTGTTTGCCTTCTTCCACCTTTTCTTGTTCTGCCTTTTCGGCCACGACCTCGGAAACTTCTGCCTTCTCAGCCTTTTTGTCAGCAGGAACCTCAGCCTGTTTTTGTTTCTTCTCATCCAGTTTCTCTTCTTCGATTGACTTCTTTTCCGCGACCTTAGCTTTCTTGGATTTGGCTTCAGACTCTTTAACCTCAGCCTTCTTGCTTTCTTCAGCCTTTTCTTCTGAAACCTTTTCAGCCACAACCTCGGAAACTTCTGCCTTCTCAGCCTTTTTGTCAGCAGGAACCTCAGCCTGTTTTTGTTTCTTCTCATCCAGTTTCTCTTCTTCGATTGACTTCTTTTCCGCGACCTTAGCTTTCTTGGATTTGGCTTCAGAGTCTTTAACCTCAGCCTTTTTGTTTTCTTCAGCCTTTTCTTCTGATATCTTTTCAGCCACAACCTCGGAAACTTCTGCCTTCTCAGACTTTTTGTCAGCAGGAACCTCAGCCTGTTTTTGTTTCTTCTCATCCAGTTTCTCTTCTTCGATTGACTTCTTTTCCGCGACCTTAGCTTTCTTGGATTTGGCTTCAGAGTCTTTAACCTCAGCCTTTTTGTTTTCTTCAGCCTTTTCTTCTGATATCTTTTCAGCCACAACCTCGGAAACTTCTGCCTTCTCAGCCTTTTTGTCAGCAGGAACCTCAGCCTGTTTTTGTTTCTTCTCATCCAATTTCTCTTCTTCGATTGACTTCTTTTCCGCGACCTTAGCTTTCTTGGATTTGGCTTCAGACTGTTTAACCTCAGCCTTCTTGCTTTCTTCAGCCTTTTCTTCTGAAACCTTTTCAGCCACAACCTCGGAAACTTCTGCCTTCTCAGCCTTTTTGTCAGCAGGAACCTCAGCCTGTTTTTGTTTCTTCTCATCCAGTTTCTCTTCTTCGATTGACTTCTTTTCCGCGACCTTAGCTTTCTTGGATGTGGCTTCAGACTCTTTAACTTCAGCCTTCTTGCTTTCTTCAGCCTTTTCTTCTGAAATCTTTTCGGCCACAACCTCGGAAACTTCTGCCTTCTCAGCCTTTTTGTCAGCAGGAACCTCAGCCTGTTTTTGTTTCTCTTCTTCGATTGACTTCTTTTCCGCGACCTTAGCTTTCTTGGATTTGGCTTCAGAGTCTTTAACCTCAGCCTTCTTGCTTTCTTCAGCCTTTTCTTCTGAAACCTTTTCAGCCACAACCTCGGAAACTTCTGCCTTCTCAGCCTTTTTGTCAGCAACAACCTCAGCCTGTTTTTGTTTCTTCTCATCCAGTTTCTCTTCTTCGATTGACTTCTTTTCGGCGACCTTAGCTTTCTTGGATTTGGCTTCAGAGTCTTTAACCTCAGTTTTCTTGCTTTCTTCAGCCTTTTCTTCTGATATCTTTTCAGCCACAACCTCGGAAACTTCTGCCTTCTCAGCCCTTTTTTCAGCAGGAACCTCAGCCTGTTTTTGTTTTTTCTCATCCAGTTTCTCTTCTTCGATTGACTTCTTTTCCGCGACCTTAGCTTTCTTGGATTTGGCTTCAGAGTCTTTAACCTCAGCTTTCTTGGTTTCTTCAGCCTTTTCTTCTGATATCTTTTCAGCAACAACCTCGGAAATTTCTGCTTTTTCAGATTTTTTGTCAGCAGGAACCTCAGCCTGTTTTTGTTTCTTCTCATCCAGTTTCTCTTCTTCGATTGACTTCTTTTCCGCGACCTTAGCTTTCTTGGATTTGGCTTCAGAGTCTTTAACCTCAGCTTTCTTGCTTTCTTCAGCCTTTTCTTCTGATATCTTTTCGGCCACAACCTCGGAAACTTCTGCCTTCTCAGCCTTTTTGTCAGCAGGAACCTCAGCCTGTTTTTGTTTCTTCTCATCCAGTTTCTCTTCTTCGATTGACTTCTTTTCGGCGACCTTAGCTTTCTTGGATGTGGCTTCAGAGTCTTTAACCTCAGTTTTCTTGCTTTCTTCAGCCTTTTCTTCTGATATCTTTTCAGCCACAGCCTCGGAAACTTCTGCCTTCTCAGCCTTTTTGTCAGCAGGAACCTCAGCCTGTTTTTGTTTTTTCTCATCCAGTTTCTCTTCTTCGATTGACTTCTTTTCCGCGACCTTAGCTTTCTTGGATTTGGCTTCAGAGTCTTTAACCTCAGCTTTCTTGGTTTCTTCAGCCTTTTCTTCTGATATCTTTTCAGCAACAACCTCGGAAACTTCTGCCTTCTCAGCCTTTTTGTCAGCAGGAACCTCAGCCTGTTTTTGTTTCTTCTCATCCAGTTTCTCTTCTTCGATTGACTTCTTTTCCGCGACCTTAGCTTTCTTGGATTTGGCTTCAGAATCTTTAACCTCAGCCTTCTTGCTTTCTTCAGCCATGTCTTCTGTTAATTTCATGGCAACTACATCTGACTCTTCAATCAGTTGTTTTAAGCCTTCCATAAGAGTAAGCAGATTTTGAGTAACAGTTTTTATCTTTCCATTTATAGCAGCGGTATGCAGTTGTCCCTGTTTTTGTTCGATATAGTCATAGTCGCTTAGCAATATTCCTTTCATTTTTTCAATTTTTGGCTTTAATATTTCCGTCTTTTCATCCAAGAGGTCATCCAGAATAACAAAAATGTCCATTAAACTCTGTTGCAAACTTATCATTTTTTCCGAAGACTTATCAATGTAGGGCTCTGATTGGATTTTCACTGAAATTCTCTCTAGATTTACAAGTTTTGGGATAATTAGTGATGGCTTGGTGAACATGTTGCAGTCGTCAATAAGCTGAATAGCTGCTTTTGTTAAAATTACGTTCGTCTTAATTTCTTTAAGATAATTATGCATTACTTGCTCAGAAGATTCTGGGCAAGCATCGAGCAGAGATTCAATAAATGACTCGAATAGTTCCGTTTCTTTTTGATCTTTTGTTTGTTTTCCATCGTAAGTGTGAACTATATGCTCTCTTAACTTAAGAATTAATTTGGCAACTGCGTCAACATCGCTTAAGTTATTAATAACATCTTGGCTTTCGACCAATATTTCATTACTTACTGCCTCCGCTAATTTTTTAAAGTTTTTATTTAAAGTCTTAAGGACTTCTTTTTTGTCTACTATTTCCGATTCTATGCCCTTCTCCGATTTGGCTTCTGATTCTTTAACTTCAGGCTTCTTGGCTTCTTCAATCTTTTCTTCAGATATCTTCTCTGCAACGACCTCAGATACTTCTGGTTTCTGGGATTGAAGTTCGACATCCTTGTCGGCTTGCTTTTGTGCCTCAGCTTCCAGTTGTTTTTCTTCCAGGATCTGTTTTTCCAATGCCAGGGCCTTCTCTGATTTGGCTTCTGCTTCCTTAACTTCCGGCTTCTTGGCTTCTTCAATCTTTTCTTCAGATATCTTCTCTGCAACGACCTCAGATACTTCTGGTTTCTGGGATTGAAGTTCGACATCCTTGTCGGCTTGCTTTTGTGCCTCAGCTTCCAGTTGTTTTTCTTCCAGGATCTGTTTTTCCAATGCCAGGGCCTTCTCTGATTTGGCTTCTGCTTCTTTAACTTCAGGCTTCTTGGCTTCTTCAATCTTTTCTTCAGATATCTTCTCTGCTACGACGTCAGATACTTCTGGTTTCTGGGACTGAAGTTCGACATCCTTCTCG